TTTATAATGTTGTTTTTGTGTTGTTAATGTTGCTTTTTAAAAAGTGATAAAAAATACATACATACATAACTTATTAACTATATATACGGTTTATATATATAGTATTTATACATATAGTAATATTATAAAGATTTTTTTAATGATTTGGATTATTTAACTGATAAGATCAATATTTAATGTCACTATCAGCGATGCAGAAAAGATGCATTGTTCTCATGTGATTGATATCTCATGGATAATATATATTCTAATAGTTTATGTATTATTGTATTCATACTCTGGCAGTCAGTCTACGGCTTACTAAACAGAATTTAAATTTGTGCTCAGATTAAACATGAGCAGTAAATTATGTAACTGAGCGATTAGCTGGATGCTATTATGCGAAGAGGTAAATTGCAAACATTACCCTATTGCTCGATGCACCATAGATGGAGCACTTGTACTGCCACCACACTGTCAGTCTGAGGCTGCAGAGCTACTAGACAATTCAACAGTGGGGAAAAAAAATGTAAATTCCTAGTTATAATGTTGTTTTTGTGTTGTTAATGTTGCTTTTTAAAAAGTGATCAAAAATACATACATACATAACTTATTAACTATATACACGGTTTATATATATAGTATTTATACATATAGTAATATTATAAAGATTTTTTTAATGATTTGGATTATTTAACTGATAAGATCAATATTTAATGTCACTATCAGCGATGCAGAAAATATGCATTGTTCTCATGTGATTGATATCTCATGGATAATATATATTCTAATAGTTTATGTATTATTGTATTCATACTCTGGCAGTCAGTCTACGGCTTACTAAACAGAATTTAAATTTGTGCTCAGATTAAATATGAGCAGTAAATTATGTAACTGAGCGATTAGCTGGATGCTATTACGCGAAGAGGTAATTGCAAACATTACCCTATTGCTCGATGCACCATAGATGGAGCACACACAAAGACACATGGACCAATAATTAAAAAAAAAAAAAACCTTAAAGTTGCTCTTTCTTATAAGCAAGAGAGGGCTACACATTTTTTCTTCAATGTTTTTTTTTTCTCTTTCATTGTTTTTGTGAAGTTTTGGTCCTGTCTTTTGAGAAAAGTCCTTCTGAGGTATCATTACACAATGAGTTCAACTTTTTAGTTTGTTTTCTCTCTTTTTTCCTTAAAAATGCATAAACGCACTACAGAGACAAAAAGTATCAAAATAGACCTAGCTAAGATAAATATACAAACAGGTGTGTTACCTTAACCCCTTATCTAACTCTTAATCTGTCTTTTTTCGAGAGATAATACACACAAAAAAATGTTTTATGACAGAAAAACTGGGAAAACAAAACCAAAAAAAAAAAAAAAAAAAAAAATTTAACCAAGATACCTGCAGCACATAATATGATAAATACATACACTTTAGCATAAGCAATACAGTATAGGAATTCTGAGCTCAAAATTTTACAATAGCTAAAATCAGGTGCGGGAAAATCAAATCAAAAGAAAACAAGTAAAGGAAACACGAAAAGGAGGGAATGCCCTTCAGATCTAAGCCGAGCGGTAATATACAATAATACATCATTACAACGTGTGTAAAAGTAACGAAGGAATTATGACGATCACCACTGATGCGTTTCAGTCCACATCTTATAAAACAGCTTTGTTTACACGTGTGCCTTAAAGCACAGTTGTAGTCCATTTAGTGAATGCAGCAATTCATTCGTGAGAGTTTTTCAATTCCTTTGCAATCCTCAGTTCTTGTAGCACAAGCTCGTTGGTTCTCTTTGGATATTTTGGTAAAAATAAAGGCCCGTTTTAGCAGGAGCGTGATGATCTCTCAGGGATAGTCTGTGTGTGTGTGTGTGTGTGTGTGTGTGTGTTATTTTTTTCACTGCCGTCTCAAAACTACACTTTGCATTAATTGGGAAGCGGGGTCCATGCAAGAGTGGCCTGCATTAATGCATTCTGCCTATCATCATTTCTGACACCCAGCTGACTGGCCCATTGAGTACGCTCTAATGACCGGTCAGCTCGATGGCTCTCATTGGCCTGGCCTCTCATTATGCATGCGGAATTAGAACACACAATTAAGCCTTCGCACAGAGGACCTGTACATAGACACTATGCTAATAGATCACTTAAAGTGGGGAATATGTGATTTGGAGTGGACCCTTTTAAATATGTTGACCACTTAATGCTTCATACTTAACAGGACTCAGCATTTTATTTTATTTTAGGAGGGGATAGAGAGGTAGTCGTCTTCCTCCCCCCCATTGTGTCTCATTTATTTGTTTCCATTCAAGAACCCGAATTCATGAAAATTAATTTGGAATCAAGAGGAATCAACAAGCTCCATTCACAGTTATGCAACAATAAACATATTTTGGTTATTTCGACAATATGTTTTTTTTTTTTTGTATTTTGTGGATGAATGGAAAACTAGAAGGGATTTACACCTTTTGTGTGACTATAGGTGGCTTTCATTGGCCTATATATTTTGTGAACCGTTTTTTAAAAGGAGGTAGCATTATTTTTGGTTTTATTTCTTTGAAGGTGTTTCGAAGGTGTGTATGAAATGAACATACAGACCAGGTACATCAGACCGCAAAAAGAAAGATCCTCCAACATAAAAAAGTGGAAAATAATTACTTGCACTGTCCTTAAAATGATTCCTGTCATGTTTGAAAAGATTCCCTATCAGTCATCCCTTATTAGTGTGGTAAATAATACTGTTCAACACGCAGGGTAAGCACAAGCAAGCAAGTGCTTGCCTGCTCTTTTTGGTATTCGTTGAACTGTGTTTAATTGTGAAATACTGGTAATTGAAGTACACCACAATGCTGAGTAATTGATGCTGGCTTGTAGTGTCACAAAGTACATCAACTGTTATTCAAGTGCCTTTTGCATGTAAAGTCCTTTGCAATCTTAGACGGTGAAGATTGCGTTCTTCACTGCAATCGCCTGAGCACAAGATGGGGTAGAGGTTTTCCTTACGCAGATTGTAAGTGCTTGTACATTAACTAAGGAACCGCAAGAGGCTTGTTAATACTGCTTTTTTTGCTTTTTGTTTCCTTTTCAGTTTGTTTTTTGGCCTTTAAACATATGTAGTGTTAAGAACTCATTAGGTTAACGTATATTAAAACAGTTCTCTCCTTTTTTTTTTAGCAATAACAACAACAAAAAAAGCATTTGCATTTTACACTTTGGTTTTTGGAATGCTCTGTAGTGTAAGTCAAAAAACTAATGATTTAGCTGAAAAAAAAGAGGAAAAATTGAATATTCAAATGACGAGTTTGTGTTATTTTGGCCAGTTCTTTAGGAAGAAGAAATGATAAATTTAAAAAAAGAGTTTTTGGTTTACTAAATATCTCTTTGGTTACCTGTAACAAAAGTAAAATGGGGAAAAACTGAAAAAGCAACATATATTAAATTAAAACTCAGAATTTGGCATGGCACTATTGAGAAAATATTTTTTTATAGTTCAGTGAAAGCAAAATCTCACATGCTAATCAGACACTTTCTACTTGCACAGTGAATTGCAAATAACTTTTATATATCTAGTAACTATAGAACTTTGAACTGATAATGAGAGTCACCATGTTGGTTAGCCACAGTACAAATCCCCTTTGTAATAACAGTGTGAGGGGCAAACACTGTGGTCTGAGGTATTCCGTGACCGTGTTATCTTTTACATTAAAGCAGTATTTTGTATCACAGCTGATATCAATTGGCTACTATAGAAAACTCTGAAACGAACAAGGTAAATAGCACAAATCTGGGAAAATAAAATCAAACATTTTTAAGTAAATGAACAAATGAAGCAAATTTGTGACAAAAAGAGAGATACGAGTGCCTGTAAAGTTTTCTCTAGGATCTTACAGGGAGCCCTGCAATGTGTATTCCACCTCTGTCTCTTTAGTTTCAGCTTCTCTCTGCTAAAGAAATGATTGAGTGGTTTTGTTGGTATTTAATGTTAGATTTCATCGGAAAGTTAGGTTTCGGAAGTTTTCACTTAATTATAAGTGCTATCCTCAAATACTCGTGATCCAACACTAGGATAAGTTTTTGACTTTTTTTTTTTTTTTTTGGGGTGGTGGAGTTTGTAGAACAAAGGATTTTGGAACGTCTCTCCTAAATGGAACCCCTTTTTGGAATGATGAGAGAATTAAAAAAACAAAACAAAACAATCATTAACAGAAGACAACAGTTGAATTACATCACAATGAAAAATGTTGATCCTTTAGAAATAAATGACTATGAAAATAAAATGGAATTGAAAGCTACTGCACACATATTATGTATTATAATCATCAATACAGTCAATAAAGTCTCTAAGCTGGTCCTCCACAAGCCTCATATCAGTCTGGCTGTCATAACAGCACCACAGGAGAACAACAGCGAAAAAGTTCAGTTTCCTGAAATACGCCTTTTTTGGGGGTAGCAACGTTTTCTATGTTTAGTTTGACAAAGAGCGAGGGGGAAAGAGCGAAACGCGTTCTAGCAGATTCTTGCGGATACCATCAGATAAAGATAGGGACAGCGCAATCATCCGCCATCTGAACGGAGGCTAACACTGCCTCGAGACAGAACGCGCTCCCCGTTTCTCTAGTTCAGTCATGGAAGGGAGACAACAACAACAACAAAAAAAATGAGTTGGTTAGATGGCCAGGGACACCGTTGCCAGTCGTTCAGCTCGCTTTGTTTCAGTCTTTGCCTTTGCCGAGAGTGGTGAATTTATCTGTGTGACCGCAAAGTTACTGAGTCTTGCAGCATCCCCTTGAATAAGTCATTCTAAAGATGTGTGTTTGTCATCTTTTTCCTCTTTTTTTCAAACATGTGAACATGTTTCTGAGGTAAATCACCGCTTTGTATTTATCCCATGGAAAAGCAGTGTTCTTAGGCCCAAAGAACATAAAAATTAAAGCTAAAAACGACTTAAAATAGAGAAACCTTGAGTGACTTGTGGGAAAAAATGACTAAGCTTGTATACTGACTCTCTAAGCTGGTCCTCCACAAGCCTCATATCAGTCTGGCTGTCATAACAGCACCACAGGAGAACAACAGCGAAAAAGTTCAGTTTCCTGAAATACGCCTTTTTTGGGGGTAGCAACGTTTTCTATGTTTAGTTTGACAAAGAGCGAGGGGGAAAGAGCGAAACGCGTTCTAGCAGATTCTTGCGGATACCATCAGATAAAGATAGGGACAGCGCAATCATCCACCATCTGAACGGAGGCTAACACTGCCTCGAGACAGAACGCGCTCCCCGTTTCTCTAGTTCAGTCATGGAAGGGAGACAACAACAACAAAAAAAATGAGTTGGTTAGATGGCCAGGGACACCGTTGCCAGTCGTTCAGCTCGCTTTGTTTCAGTCTTTGCCTTTGCCGAGAGTGGTGAATTTATCTGTGTGACCGCAAAGTTACTGAGTCTTGCAGCATCCCCTTGAATAAGTCATTCTAAAGATGTGTGTTTGTCATCTTTTTCCTCTTTTTTTCAAACATGTGAACATGTTTCTGAGGTAAATCACCGCTTTGTATTTATCCCATGGAAAAGCAGTGTTCTTAGGCCCAAAGAACATAAAAATTAAAGCTAAAAACGACTTAAAATAGAGAAACCTTGAGTGACTTGTGGGAAAAAATGACTAAGCTTGTATACTGACGTCAGGCTTCCCTCAGTAGCTATAGACACGGTGGTCCGTACTTCTATCAGACCATGTTTCGAAGTACAGGAGGACATGAACGCACAGCTGCTCAAAGGGCCTTTTCGAGGGGACTGAGTGAGGAAACAAAAAATTAAGGGTGGGGAACGTGTTTTTGCATTGGGAACTGATGAGGTCTAACCCTGTTTTGGTTTCTTAAGTTGTAGTTGGTTTTTTATCTTTGTTTTCTCACTTGATCTTGAACATCTTGAATACGAGGGAGGGACAGGGCCAGTGAGCTCCGCCTCCAACACTTCCTCCTACTCCAGCTCCTCTGTGGGAAGCTCCTCATCCATGTCGCGCTCATCACCAGGCATGCACAGGTTTTGAGTGACAGATGCCATGAGGGACACAGGTCTGCTGTCCTCCTCCATCTCAGCTGGCTCCTCCTTCACGTGGACTTGGTGTCTGAAACAGAAATAACATGCAACAAGTCAGTCTTACGGAGTTTACAGAAGAATGACAATTTCAAATGAGAGATAAACCTTTAAATATGCAACACTTCTTAAACAGATGTCACTTTTTAAAAATGGTTAAATTGTTTTTAAATATAGAAAAACAATTCTTTAAATTTTGAATTTTTGTAATTCACTAAGAAAGAAAAATTCTATATATAAAATATTATATACTATTTATATGATAATATATTATGTATAACATTTATTATGATTATTACAATAATTAATAAATTCAATTATATACTCTACAGTTCAACAGTTTGGGGTCAGAATGACTTTTTAAGATATTAAAACTTTAATTCAGATATGCATTACATTGATCAAAAGTGACCAAAATGATTTCTATTTCAAATGAATGATATTCCTTTGAACTTTCTATTCATCCAAAAAAATCTTGAAAAAAGATCACGATTTCCACACAAATATTAAGCAGGAAAGTTAAATATTGACTGTTTTCAACATTGATAATAATAAGAAATGTTTCTTGAGCACCAAATCAGCATATTAGAATGATTTTTGAAGGATCATGTCACACTGACGACTGGAGTAATGATTCTGAATATGCAGTTTTGCATCACAAAAGTAATACAATTTTAAAACATTAAAATAGAACACAATTATTTAATATGTTTAATATTTTTTGATCAAATAAATGTCTCCTTGGTAAGCATAAGTGACAAAAGCATGGAAAAATATGAAAGATCTCAAACTTTGGAATGGTAGTGTATTAATTTTTATATTTTTTTGCAGTCGTTTCATTAAAGCTTCACACTGCTTTATTCAGTAAATCAATAAGAAATGCACTACATATCAAGGCACTAGTAATTAGTCAGCTGGGTTGACTAGTCTTACCCATACTGCTGTGGAGAAAGGCCAGGGCTGCAGCTGCCATTACTGTTGACTTGTTCAACAGTGCTGCTGACATCATCGTGGCAGACATGCAGCATGTTGAGGCTCGCACCTGTGCTGTTGTTCATCAGGGTGGGGCTGTTCAGAAGACCAAGACTGCTCTCCACAAGTGCAGCCTGCACACACAATTTTATAGTGTTTAGTCTTAATAAAAAGTTAAGAGAGATGCAATGATGGCTGTGTTGCTGTAAAATCATAAAGCATTGTTGATGTTACAGTTGTGAGGTCTGAAAGGTCATTATAGTGAAAATATTAAAGTCATTTATAAGCTGAAGAAGATGACTGCAAGGTGTACTCAGGCACAAAGCCCTCTGGTGCCACCATTACACTGACAATAGCCACTATACCAACAAGCATCCTGCAGAGGAATGTGTGTATTTATTGATTTTAAATTCCTATTAATTAATAAAAGATAAATGTGCTGACTGGATAGATGTAATCTGTGTGTTTTAAGAGAAATCTGGCAGCAGTGGTGCAGCAGGTTAGGTTGTGTCACCACTAGGGGTCTCCTCGCTTCCATACAACAGACCTGACTGCTCGCTGAGACCACCAGAAACACACACTCACAGACTCTCACACTCCTGTTACACATGTGCTCATCACTTGCCCAATGAAAACTCCAAAACTCATTAACACATGATATACATTAAAGTATATTATAGTGTTTGGTAATACTTTATTTATTTCACTGTTTGCTTAAAATCTTTATTTAAAGGGGAAAAGAAATTAAGTAAAAACAGTAACAGAAAAAAGACACTTACAGTAAGGTCCAAAATTCTAAAAACACTAGCAAAAATGCTTCTACTTCACTTTACAGTTAATTTTTTTTGCATCATATAATACATTGTTAAATATTACTTTTTAAAATTCATATTTTGAAATAAAATTATATTATCAGCACAAACTGAGTACACTGAATCTAAAACTACTTTAAAGACGATTTATAGATTATTATTAGTAATAATACTAAATATATCTTAACTTCACATAACATCTTTCATTACATCATCTTTGTATTGGCATTTATAACTATGTTGTACATTTTTAAAAGTTATCTTCTGTTGACTACACTGTACACTCGGACTGGCTTTATAGATATATAAGGTATAAGAGTTATATAACTATAAACTGCTTAAAAAAAACAAAAACTTCAAACAAGATCCAAGTCAGAAGTAATGGTAAATCCATGTAAGTATGGTAAATTCCTATTACTACAAACAAATCTACATAAACAACTACGCATATGGATATTTTAACGCAGAAGGAAAGGTGGAACGGAAAACGGTTCTGCTTGGTTTCCTTCATTTCTACAGTCACTTCTGAACTGAAAACTGATCATGTGGTACTCATGCCAATTCAAACTATAGACTGCCCAAAATATGCCAGCGAGAGAAAGAGAGAGCGAGATAGAAAAAACAACAGAGAGAGAGAGAGGGAGAGGCAGAAATGAAAAAGAGTTTGAGGGAAATTCATTCTGATTCTGTGGAGACTGGGTGGTGGCGAGAAAGATGATCAGGGTCACACAATGTTTAAAGGATGTGAACCAAATAAGGGCTCATTTTTACCCTTTAAACTATAATTAACTGGAAGCCACCTACAATTTTTGGCAAAAACAGACAGATCCAATAGGTAAACATGCTTAATGCCTGTTTAATGAGATGGCCAGGTTGAATCACTTTTAAAAGGTTAATTACAGGCGAGACTGTGCCTACCATATGCAGACTAAAATTTTTTAAAATTCATATTTTGAATTAAAATTATATCATCAGCACAAACTGAGTACACTGAATCTAAAACTACTTTAAAGACGATTTATAGATTATTATTAGTAATAATACTAAATATATCTTAACTTCACATAACATCTTTCATTACATCATTCGTCTTTGTATTGGCATTTATAACTATGTTGTACATTTTTAAAAGTTATCTTCTGTTGACTACACTGTACACTCGGACTGGCTTTATAGATATATAAGGTATAAGAGTTATATAACTATAAACTGCTTAAAAAAAACAAAAACTTCAAACAAGATCCAAGTCAGAAGTAATGGTAAATCCATGTAAGTATGGTAAATTCCTATTACTACAAACAAATCTACATAAACAACTACGCATATGGATATTTTAACGCAGAAGGAAAGGTGGAACGGAAAACGGTTCTGCTTGGTTTCCTTCATTTCTACAGTCACTTCTGAACTGAAAACTGATCATGTGGTACTCATGCCAATTCAAACTATAGACTGCCCAAAATATGCCAGCGAGAGAAAGAGAGAGCGAGATAGAAAAAACAACAGAGAGAGAGAGAGGGAGAGGCAGAAATGAAAAAGAGTTTGAGGGAAATTCATTCTGATTCTGTGGAGACTGGGTGGTGGCGAGAAAGATGATCAGGGTCACACAATGTTTAAAGGATGTGAACCAAATAAGGGCTCATTTTTACCCTTTAAACTATAATTAACTGGAAGCCACCTACAATTTTTGGCAAAAACAGACAGATCCAATAGGTAAACATGCTTAATGCCTGTTTAATGAGATGGCCAGGTTGAATCACTTTTAAAAGGTTAATTACAGGCGAGACTGTGCCTACCATATGCAGACTAAAACATGTAACACACTCAAGGAATTACAAATGGAACACAGCAGAGAGCCACAGTTCTCTCACACTCTGGTAGGGCGTTTTTGAGCGCATCAGAGATCTCCACTATTTGTCTGCTCTTTTGTTAAAGGCTAGTTTATGTACGGCCTTTTCAGGATGAGCAGTTCCATTTCCATAGAGATGGCCTGCGGGGTCAGAGCGAGACAAACTGGGCCAGGCCGGTGGAAGTGTGTGTGTTGGCCCGTGATTAGCAGGGCTGTTTGTTTGTCAGGCGCTGACACTGCTTGTCCTGTGAGGAGATGGATGGGCACAGACCTGACAGAGCGCCACACATGCTCACACACCCAGACCAGGACTCAAGCACAAAGGCTAACCTCCCAGATCCATCTCTGTCTCGTCACACAGCGTTCTTGGGAAAAACACACACACGAACACAGAAACACAGAGCTAGGCTCTGAAAGCTCCGAACGAGAGTCACGGTGACACTGCGGGTTTCAGATGGATTTTCTAGGACAGATACTAATTTTATGCTATGACCTTCATTGACAAATATTTGACGCTATAAATCACATATGGCTGGCTGGGAGCGCGTGTGCGATGGAGGGAGGAGAACGGAGGAGGTTTGGGAGAAGTAGCTAATTAGAAGAGGAAATTATTATTAGCGCCCTTGTGCGCTTGATTTGGCCTGATCCGTGCAGGATTCCCACACTTTCTGAGGAATTAATTTTCCAGGATCTATCCAGTTGTATAAAACTACTTTGCTCATTGAGACAGATTCACTAATGAACCATTTAGACCAATTCATTGAAATAAACTGAAAAGTACAGTATGATTCGTTCACATATCAGATCTCACTATGGCCATTTTCACTCTACCCAAGGCAGACCAAATATTTCAGAGCTCTAGAAAAATGTATAGTCATATTTAGAGATCAAACTCTGAACTGGTTCGAGAAGACTTAAAACATTCATTAACAAATCAGACAATCAAAATATTGACATTATCTGAGAGTAATATTTAGCCCAAAAAATTAGGGCATAGTGTAACTAGAAAAATGTATATCTCAATTCAATATTTCATTATTTACCCTGTACTTTCAAGTTGCTTGTGATAATCGGAATTTAAAAATCATTCTAATTCAGACCACTTCGCTAACGAATCATTCAGAATGATTTAACAAGTTTGACCAAATCATTGAAAAGAACCAACTCAAAAGAATGATTCACTCATATATGAGGAACTATGGCTTGCTCAACCCAGAAGCAATATGTAACCGATTAAATATTTTACAGTGCAGCGTAAAATAAAATAAATTAATATATATATATAAATAATGTTATTTGTGTTGACTTCTAAAATCTAAATTTTAGCTGGATACATTTCCCCATAATTTTCAATGCTGATGAGCGTGTGTATGGATGCATAAAGGTGTCGATTTGATGTACTGAAGGCACACACGTACTCACCTGATAGCTGGCATTCAGGGAGCCAAATCCCAGCCCAGTAATCATATTCTTCACGAGAGTGGGACTTCTGAGAAGGAGAAGAAAGAGAGAGGGTGATTAAGTACATGTGTGGATTACAACAAAACACATCTGACCAAAGAGTGTGTTAAAAAACACTCCCAAACCCGTGAAAAATGCTGAGGCACTATTCTATTTACAAGAGATAAATAGAAAAGTTAAACAATGGAGAGTAACATGCATTCTGACACATCATATAGTGCACACACACTACTGTTTGTTCGCTTTTGTGTCTGTGCGCTACAGGGCTGAAATCTGGCACGCAGGCCGTCGGCTGGGTAATTTGCCGTCGTCTCTTTGGCAGAGCTTGAGACGCTGTGTAACATCTGTTTGTACAAATGCAAGCAGGCATGCTTTTCTGCAGTGCATCTGCTCACAATGTACCCTAAACAGTGTAGACACAGACGGAAAAAATACACAGGCGCATACACACACACACACACACATACTGCCAAACACAAGGAGGCGAGGCACAAAAGAGACCTTTGTGCTTTTGACTAGAGAGTCAGTAATAGGGTAATGATGGGAAGCCCATTAAGGTAATCATACATGCCAATAACGATTATAGCCCCACTTACAGAGCAGACATACAAGCTTACACTTTTGCTACAGGACTAAAGCCTGTTTTTCTTCACTTAAAGAGTGCTGTTTTAATCCAGAATTTCACAGGTTATTGTGACTAGTATGATTTCAGACAGGCTTACTTTTTCAGTCTGTAAAGCTACAGGAGGTTTCAGCAGGCATTCTTAAGGAAGCCAAGAGTGGTAGCACAACTATTTTGACATCAATGATATCAATATTGTATTGTATTGTATATAAATAATTTTCTTTCTTCTTATTTTCCTGTAAAATGTTTCATGTTAATGTTTTTTGTCATTATTTTAGTGTCATGTGTGTTCCCAATTGTCTTTATGTGTACAGTATGACTCTGTGCACCATCTATATACAACTATTGGTCATGTTGTGTGGACAGGCACTTACTCTGATTAGAGGTATATTAACATTATATCACATAATGAAATATAAGAATCTCGTTATTGTCTTGTTTTTTTTTTCTACTGTAAATTTCTGGCAAACACAGCTGCCAGTTTTTACCATAAATGCAATAGGATTAGATTCAGAAGGCTTTGAACATGGTGCATGAGTCGTATAGACCTTTTTATGTTACTTTTATGATAATTTTTTTGATAATTTTGGAGACAACGGCATTTTTTGGAGCAACAAGAACTTACAAATCAGACAATCAAAATATTGACATTATCTGAGAGTAATATTTAGCCCAAAAAATTAGGGCATAGTGTAACTAGAAAAATGTATATCTCAATTCAATATTTCATTATTTACCCTGTACTTTCAAGTTGCTTGTGATAATCGGAATTTAAAAATCATTCTAATTCAGACCACTTCGCTAACGAATCATTCAGAATGATTTAACAAGTTTGACCAAATCATTGAAAAGAACCAACTCAAAAGAATGATTCACTCATATATGAGGAACTATGGCTTGCTCAACCCAGAAGCAATATGTAACCGATTAAATATTTTACAGTGCTGCGTAAAATAAAATAAATTAATATATATATATATATATATATATATATATAAATAATGTTATTTGTGTTGACTTCTAAAATCTAAATTTTAGCTGGATACATTTCCCCATAATTTTCAATGCTGATGAGCGTGTGTATGGATGCATAAAGGTGTCGATTTGATGTACTGAAGGCACACACGTACTCACCTGATAGCTGGCATTCAGGGACCCAAATCCCAGCCCAGTAATCATATTCTTCACGAGAGTGGGACTTCTGAGAAGGAGAAGAAAGAGAGAGGGTGATTAAGTACATGTGTGGATTACAACAAAACACATCTGACCAAAGAGTGTGTTAAAAAACACTCCCAAACCCGTGAAAAATGCTGAGGCACTATTCTATTTACAAGAGATAAATAGAAAAGTTAAACAATGGAGAGTAACATGCATTCTGACACATCATATAGTGCACACACACTACTGTTTGTTCGCTTTTGTGTCTGTGCGCTACAGGGCTGAAATCTGGCACGCAGGCCGTCGGCTGGGTAATTTGCCGTCGTCTCTTTGGCAGAGCTTGAGACGCTGTGTAACATCTGTTTGTACAAATGCAAGCAGGCATGCTTTTCTGCAGTGCATCTGCTCACAATGTACCCTAAACAGTGTAGACACAGACGGAAAAAATACACAGGCGCATACACACACACACACACACATACTGCCAAACACAAGGAGGCGAGGCACAAAAGAGACCTTTGTGCTTTTGACTAGAGAGTCAGTAATAGGGTAATGATGGGAAGCCCATTAAGGTAATCATACATGCCAATAACGATTATAGCCCCACTTACAGAGCAGACATACAAGCTTACACTTTTGCTACAGGACTAAAGCCTGTTTTTCTTCACTTAAAGAGTGCTGTTTTAATCCAGAATTTCACAGGTTATTGTGACTAGTATGATTTCAGACAGGCTTACTTTTTCAGTCTGTAAAGCTACAGGAGGTTTCAGCAGGCATTCTTAAGGAAGCCAAGAGTGGTAGCACAACTATTTTGACATCAATGATATCAATATTGTATTGTATTGTATATAAATAATTTTCTTTCTTCTTATTTTCCTGTAAAATGTTTCATGTTAATGTTTTTTGTCATTATTTTAGTGTCATGTGTGTTCCCAATTGTCTTTATGTGTACAGTATGACTCTGTGCACCATCTATATACAACTATTGGTCATGTTGTGTGGACAGGCACTTACTCTGATTAGAGGTATATTAACATTATATCACATAATGAAATATAAGAATCTCGTTATTGTCTTGTTTTTTTTTTCTACTGTAAATTTCTGGCAAACACAGCTGCCAGTTTTTACCATAAATGCAATAGGATTAGATTCAGAAGGCTTTGAACATGGTGCATGAGTCGTATAGACCTTTTTATGTTACTTTTATGATAATTTTTTTGATAATTTTGGAGACAACGGCATTTTTTGGAGCAACAAGAACTTAATTTTTGGGTGAACAATCCCTTTAAAGATGACCAATCTGAGTCTACATACCCGGTCATCTTTGGTGGTCTCCTCTTTTGGTATTCCACTTCGTCCACGGTCCAAACAGCACCCTTGACGTTCTCGACCCGCACAAAGCACTTGTGCAGACTCAGGTTATGGCGCACAGCATTCTGGGTAATAGTGACGGGACATACAGAGAAGACAGAGAGCAAAAAGAAGCCAGTCAGTCTCTCGTTCCAGCCACGACTCGACACCGTAGGTATCTTAAGCAGAATCGTGACCGCATCGCTGTCATTGCTGGAAATGCAATTATATCGAGGTCTGATATAAACAGCCTTTAATAATGGCATAAATCTTATACCTGGTTTCTAATTAAAAGAGTGCACGTGATGATGAGCACAAAAGATTGCACGGCTCAGAGAGAGACGTGCCGACTGAGCGTATCTCTCCATCTCGAACCCGTCCCCCTCCCGCCCGCACCATCTCACAGACACACACAACCAATTAAGTGCACATTCAACCGAGGGGATGTGACAATGTGGTGCCACACCATCATAACAGTGGGAGTTTGAAAAAAAAAACCTCCATCTTTGAACGCAAAAAAATAAGAAACGATGCACACTATCCCCCCTCCACCATCAGCAAACCCACCCCCTGCTTTTTTATTTTAAATTTCACTAATCAGCCACTATCTAGAATAACACCCCCAAGGGAGACCCCTTCCTTTTCATCTGCTATTTGTAGTTTGTTCATGCCCAATTTCATTACCAATTTTAATTTGTGTATAATTAAATCCTGTGTATTTTTTCCGACGCACTCTCTTTTTTTCCCCTGAATCCATGAGGGAGGGACTGCTGATGCTGGAATCACTCCTAACCATAATTACAAGTGCCATAATCAGGCGAGGCCTCCCTCCTTTGAATAAATTTCCCCGTGCAGGAGTGATGATGCTTAGTTTTGCAAATGAGTATGACCCCAATTTCAGCCTGCCACCTCACCGATTTTATTTGCATTCCCATCCGTGATGAAAGACTAATTCTCCCAGTTAAAACATTAGCAGCAATTTAAAGGGGGTCAGCCTCTGCAGACATAAACAAAATGCCCGCCTGGCAGTGTGTGTGTGTGTGTGTGAATGAGTGACTGTAGGGGTGGCGGCTATATTAGAAAGATTGCACGCTTGATGCGGATGTCAAACTGGCCTCGGTTCCTTTTCTGACAGCATCCACATGAAGAGGGACGACACTACGGCCACCATTTTATCCTAGAAATGAACTGCGGCAGTGAATGTACAGCACTGTTTGAAACTGCGTTCACAACCTGTTTTACATCTGCAATTTCTGAGTGAAACTGGATATTCAGGTTATTCGTTTTTTTTAAATATCACAAAAGGCTATTTCACCTCTGAATCGCTCATAGGACCAGGGACTTGCATTAAGAAAGTAAATATGGGTCAACTTCAGGCACAGTGGGCTTAAAAACTACACAGCTTACCTAGGACACCAAGATACTCAATCTAGATACTTGTGGCCTTATACAAAAGAAAGTAGCAACATACAAGCGTAATGAAATGCTTCCTGCAGACACCAGGATAAATCCTCCACTGAGGAGGAGAGTATGTGAACAAAAATCAGCTTTTAATATTCCTTAAAAGAACAAGGCCTAGAGAAATGATCAGTGTGGGTTACAAATATTCCCCACTTTATATACACGATCATTAGTTAAACTACTACTGTGAAATTCAGAAAAGCAATGGGGAAGTTAATGAAAGACTGAATTATACAAACTGCTGACAGACCCTGCTACGTAACATCTCCATAAGCCAAAAAAAAATAAAAATGCAGGAGGTGTGTGTGCTGAGAAATCTAGAGAAATTTAGAGCTGGTTCATTCTATGAAACGGATGTCTTTTCCTGATTGATAATAAAGTACTTAAACTTTCTTTGAGACAAAAAATGTATTGAGGGGTTAATAAATTGCATTAATAGAAGAGTTCATTACTTTAAAAAAAGGATAAAATCAAGGTTGATACAAAATATATATTGCATTATATATACACTACCATTCAAAAGTTTGGAATTTACTTTTTATTCAGCAAGGATGCACTAAATTGATCAACAGTAACAGTAAAGACAATTATGATTTGACAAAATACTATAATTTCAAATGAACACTTCTTTTGAACTTTCTATTTATCAAAAAATCCTGGAAAAAAACGTCTCATGGTTTCAACAAAAATATTAAGCAGCACAATTATTTTTAACATTGATAATGATAAGAAATGTTTCTTGAGCAGCAAATCAGCATATTAGAATGATTTCTGAAGGACCATGTGACACAGAAGACTGGAGTAATGATGCTGAAAATTAAATTTACATTTTTCGGTGCATAAACATAAACATGTTTTCATCAAAATGAATTTGTATTTGCTAACAAGCAAGGAGATATTGTAGAAAAAATGTGTATAGTAACAGTTACTAAAAGTTAGCATCAGCTCTTCATTGTTAAATTAATTTTTACATATATGCCTATGAGGGACACAAATAGCAGCGGTTTTGCAGAATGACCCAGCTGGTGTCCATCTTATGAATAAAAGCCGCCCTCTAACTGATCAATGACTTCCCCTACTCTCTGGACCTGACTTTTCATGAAATATAGATGGCCATTAAGAGCACCGGAGAGCATGCATCTCCATTTCTATATTTAATACCGGGCCAAATGACTGGCTAGAGAGGAAGACGAGTGAGAATGTGCAGTTATTAAAATAAAAAGAAGAGAGAGAGTGTGAAAAGGTACTATAGGAGGGAAAAAAAGATCTGGCACTGGTTGAAGAGGAAAAGAAGATGGATCCATTAATTGTTAAATTTCATAAAAGTAAAATGAGTTATTAAAGATATTCCTGCCACTTTCACCTCCTTCCCCTCAACTCTCACTGGCTAAGCTCACTAACTGCTCCTGGGTGCCGCTGCGGTTCAAGACTATTAGCCCGCTGTTCTGTCTCGATGCCCTCAGCCTCCTTGGGTCCCTCTCTCACCTCACCTTCTCTGTTTCTCTCCCTACTTTCTCCCCTCCAGAGGCTCAGGCACACAAATGAGCCTTGGGCCAGTGTTGGCTGAATGTGGGGCAGCACCTCCTCAGCCCAGGCTCCAGGCTCCAGGCTCCAGGCTCCAGGCTATAGGCCATGTGAATGCCTAATGAGGAGACTGAGTGACAGGAAGCGAGCTACTCTTCACGGTGTCCGTTTCCTCTCTGGCCTGACAGCACCTTTCCAAGCTCCTAGTCCACAGGGAGAGGGGGAGGGTGGGAGGTGGTGGGAAGGGAGGGATGTATTAGCACATCTTTCTGAGGGGTGAACTAATGGCTAAGCAGGGTGATGGGGAGATGGTCTGCTAAATGGGACGGTTACATGGTCGGCCCAGGTCTTTAATGACCACTCTGCTCTTCACTTTGGACAGAAAGAGAGAGAGAGAGAGAGAGAGAGAGAGAGAGAGAGAGAAAGGGGGGACTGGAGGCAAAATTTCATAAATGTAAGTTTAGATAAAAACTTAACATGGTTAAGTTAGATGTAATAATATTTAAATAATAATAATTACAATATCATAAAAGTAATTTTATATTACTATTAAATTTTAGTATTTTAGTTCTATGATGATGATGATGATGATTATTATTATTATTATTAGCAGCAGCATCATTACTACTACTAATTAATAATATTACTTATTAAATTGTCAAGGTATAAAGGTATGTTTAGATAGTTAAACAAACAAACATGTTAAACTTGTAACATAAACAAACATGTAAACCAAGTTTTTTTTTTATTATTACATATTATATATTTTTTTGTAAAAATAATTGTATTTATTAATATTTAATGTTTTTTTTAATAATTTATAATATGTAGAATATTAACCATATGTATTATTACTATTATTAGCAGAATCCTTACTACTACTGATTAATAATATTGCTTATTAAAATGTCAAGGAATAAAGGTATGTTTAGAAAATTTAAAAAGTTAAACATAAACATGTTAAACTTGTAACAAACATAAACATGTAATCCAAGTTAAACATGGTTATCGAGTAAAAAGTTTTTTATTGTTATTATTATTGTTTTAATTGTTATTTTATTATATAATATAATATTTTGTAATAATATTTGTATTTATTAATATTTAATATTTTTTATTATTTATAATATGTAGAATATTAATAATATTTATTATTATTATTTATTCCTTTTCCCCCATTAGTCTTAAATGATACATATTTTCGGTTTAACTTCTGTTTTTTAAATGTGCTTTATAAATAAAGTTTGACTTGACTTGAAGTGTTATCTTTATATTATTATGAGATTACAATGTGCACACGCAACACGTCTAGTATCAGCTAGCCTTGGGTGACATGAAACCGAGAGTCGTGTGGTTAAAGCAGCTGACTGGACATCAAAGCTTAGGGTTCGAAAACACACAGGTGGACGAGGGAAGAGGGATGACAGCAGTTGGTTCATAGAGACTAGGTACTGCGCTCAGGGGAGAGCTGCGCTCCTGTGGTGGGATCCAGTGGAGTGTTGCATGTCGGAGCTGGTCAGGAGATGCAGAGCTGATACAGAACTGGCTGCGGACCAGTGGGGCGCATGCTAATCAACCGGTACAAATTAAACTGTCTGATAAGGGTTACAACGCTACGTGCCCATGGACTGATAAAACACAGACTGTGTTGGTATATGCATACACATGCACACACAGCAGGCAGCCATTTGACTATGCAAAGACTGATTTATGCATCACTGAATTTAGGGGGGTCTTTTGACACTTTTTAGTGAAAGTTATAGCACATAGTGCAAAGGAAATGGACTTGAATGAGTCAGACTTGAACTTCCTGCTCCCACTTACCAAACACCATTAGGCAGGCCGACGCCACATAACACAATCAAAACAATAAGGAGAGCACATCAGGACACCAAAAAAACAAAGAAAAACAGATCTGGGAATGGCCAGGTCGTAACTTGGCTGTCTGTGTGATGCCAGGCGTCATTAATAACCTCAATGTTATTGGAGCTCTACAGAAGGCCGTATCTCTGTTGTACCCGCTGTACCCCTTGGCAAGAAGGGAGGATTTATTGTTGTTTGGGTCGTGTTGAACAATGGGCTGCGTCTGTTGCTCTGTTTTTATCTCTGAGAGACTTATAAAAGAAGGAGCCCTTCTGCCTCATTGCCAGGAGGCAAGCATGGACTAGCCAGAGCTTCTAAACATTGTGACCGCAGTAGACTGGCAGTTTCCTAGAACTTAGGGTACAGAGGCTGGTTGCGATGATGTTAGATAAAACATTCACAAAGCTATCCAAACAGAGTTTACTGACAAAACTTTGTGAAATGTTTAAATACTTGAATAAACTGTTCACTATTTAACAACAAAAATGTATGCATATAAAAACTAAACAAAAAAGTCTAACACAAATCATAAAAATGAAAAACATCAAATAACTGCAGAACAATATTTCATTCTTAGTTCAAAGGAGTTACATTTACTGTTTTTGGTGGTCAAAAATTGGCTTTAGTGGTGCAAAACCACGGGTCAGGGTTAAGCTGGTTAGCAAATGTCTATGATAAACGTCTTGATTTTTGCAAGCAATATGTAAATAATGAAATTTACACTACCATTCAAAAGTACAAGTTAATTTGTTTGTTTTTCTCTCTTATGCTCAAGAAGGCTTTTTTTTTATCAAAAATACATGCTCAAGATATTAAACCGCATTAAAAAAACATCTGTACTGTGATACATTTTTTTCCAAGATTATTTGATAAATATAATTTTTGCAATAAAAATCTTTTGTAATTTTATAATTGTCTTTACTGTCACTTTTGATCAATTGAATGCATCCTTGCTGAATAAAAGTATTAATATCTTTAAAAAAATATTACTGAGCCTAAACTTTTCAACGTGTGTATAATACTTCAGGTGGTTCCTGTGTTAGTCAAGCACCTGCCATCGCGATGAATAGGAATGCTAACAAGTATTACTTCAAGTATTATAGACGTCTATGGTGCAAAATGTATTGACTTTTTCACTTAACGGGACATTACCTTCCATGTTGCTGTGTTTCTCCTGAAATAGGCGAACATTCGTGTAAACCAGTTATAGATCTCGTTTAGAGTCAGCTGTCGGTCAGGGGCTTCCAGAATGGCCTGGTTGAATAAAGCCGAGAGAGAGCGGAAGAGAGAAAGTGAGCAAGTGTCAAGAGGTGATTCAAATGGCTGCTATTAGTGAGACATTAGCTGATGGACTGTTTCCAGACGGGCAGGTAGTGCATTATGGATAGTGCTGTGCGTTTCAGCATGACTGACACTGAGCTAAGAGATGCGCATAAATCCTTAGTTACCAGCACACACCTTTGAACTTCACTCAAGTGTACTGGAGCAAGAGCGGACAGTCCAGATCTCTACATCACACACACACACACACACACACACAGGCTGACTTACATGTCGTATGAGGGAGGCATAGGTGAATGGAGGCCTGACATCAGCATTTTTGTAGAATTCACAATTCTGTGCAAGTTCTGTAACAGACAGACACAAAATCAGCCATAATTATTCATACATATTTCAGTGTTGTGGAAGTCAATATGTAGAGTATGATGAGTTAGATTTTGCATGGAGGGACACTGACCTGAAGCGATGGGGGTGCAGAACTTGTCGGAGTTGCGCCGACGGATGGGCCCGACTCCGTGCAGGCTGGAGGAGCTGATGACGGAGGGTCCCTGCCTCATGGGGGTAGGTGAATGGAGGCCTGACATCAGCATTTTTGTAGAATTCACAATTCTGTGCAAGTTCTGTAACAGACAGACACAAAATCAGCCATAATTATTCATACATATTTCAGTGTTGTAGAAGTCAATATGTAGAGTATGATGAGTTAGATTTTGCATGGAGGGACACTGACCTGAAGCGATGGGGGTGCAGAACTTGTCGGAGTTGCGCCGACGGATGGGCCCGACTCCGTGCAGGCTGGAGGAGCTGATGACGGAGGGTCCCTGCCTGTTTTTGTAGAATTCACAATTCTGTGCAAGTTCTGTAACAGACAGACACAAAATCAGCCATAATTATTCATACATATTTCAGTGTTGTGGAAGTCAATATGTAGAGTATGATGAGTTAGATTTTGCATGGAGGGACACTGACCTGAAGCGATGGGGGTGCAGAACTTGTCGGAGTTGCGCCGACGGATGGGCCCGACTCCGTGCAGGCTGGAGGAGCTGATGACGGAGGGTCCCTGCCTCATGGGGGTGATGGGAGTTGCGGCAGAGGTGGGGGGATGAGGCAAGCCCTCAAGAAACCCCTCACTTTCTCTTTTTGACAACGGCACACTAGAGGCCAGGTTCAACTAGGTGAGAGGGAACAAAATTGAAAACATATTTACAATAAAAATGACCAATCAAAATTAGTTTGAGGTCGCTAAGATTTTATAAATGTTTTCAAGAAGTCTCTTATGCTCACTAAAGAGTACAAAATAAGAGTAAAAACAGTAATATTGTGAAATATTATTACAATTTAAAATATTTTTTTCTATTTTAATATATTTCAAAATGTAATTTATTTCTGTGATGGCGAAGCTGAATTTTTAGAGTCCCATGATCATTCAGAATTCATTCTGATAAGCTAAATTGGTGCTAAAAACAGTTAAAAACAGATGTGCTGCTTTATATTTTTGTGAAAACCATGACACTTTTTTTTTTCAGGATTCTTTGATAGAAGGTTCAAAAGAACAGCATTTATTTGATATAGAAATCTTTTGTAACATTATAAACGAGACATACACAGCATCGAAATTCACTCAAAAAAATCAAAATATTTATTATCCAATTGCAAGAATGTTGGTATTACTTATAATAATAATAATATTTATTTAATATTTTAAAATACATATTATAATAAATATAATAAATATTGTATTTATAATATGTAATATTTGAATAAACATCTTATTGTAAATAATATACAATAAATAACGCTATATTTAAAACAATATTTGTAATATTTGTAGTATATATGTAACGTGTCAAATTTCATAAAATTATAAGGTTCTTTATGTGTATAATGCAGGTAATTGTTGGGAAAAATCATTAAAACTTAAAGTAAGTTTTATGTTCAGGAAGAGGAAATATTGTATTGCATTTTATACATAATATTAAATGTTTACTTCTATTAGCTTGTTTTTTTTTTGCTAACAAAAACATACATTCATATGTACATACATAATACCAGAAATAGCACAAAACAATGACAGCGCAAAACATAAATGATTTTCTCCCTCTATTTGGCACACGTTAAGTCTCAGCGCAGCCTCAATTCTAATTCACATCATCTTTGTGGTGTACATTAATCTCCAGTATTGCAATTACCAACCAGGAAATATAATCATCTTCAAATTGTCATTGGTCTCCTGCTGTGAGATACATCCTGCGATCCTTGCCAGCACATCCATGCCAAAAGCAGTTGGCACAGTGACTCCATTATAAGATGATCCTGTTCACCCGGTGAAATTCAAACAAAGCACCCCGCAAATCATGTTTCTCAGATATAAGCGGGCACGCGCACACACAAACGAGGCTCCTCGTGACACAATGTCTGCAATTAAAGCCACACAAGAGGAGCAAAAACAAAGCGATACATGGTAGGAGGGGGTAAAACAACAATCTGGCAACAAACAACACTTGCGGTTACCCGCCCTCATTGTGGCCCTGCTCTGCCCAATTAGCTTCGACGGGCAAGGAGTACTAGGAAACAGCTTTCCCTATCGCTCAGGGAGTCTTTTTCAGGGTTGCTTGTTTTGCTCTAATTAAAACCATCATGTGCACGTGTGAGCAGCGAGAGATAGAGCGAGCGAGAGGAGGGGCGGGCATAGTGGGGTTGAAGCTAATATGGCGAATTAAACAGCGCCAGCCCTCTATTCTCTCCATTCTCATTGCCACAGGAGCCAACCTGGCCCATCTCCAGTAATTAGGAGAGCAAAATGGTTTAACAGGTACTTAATTAACGCTGCAGCCGCGCCAGTTTGCTGTGCCAAACACCCAACAATCTTAATAGCGGTCAATGCCACACACGTGTTTGTGCTAAACTCCACCCTAATGCTCACCCTTACCACTTAATGCTAATTCTTTCTCTTGATCACACTCACAATTATAATTTTGTCATTCTCTCTCTCCCTCATTCCGTCTAGGTTGCTCGGCCCGGCCCAGTTGCTGTTTCCCATTACCGTCTAATGGCAGCTGATCTGTAGAATTTGTCTCCAAACAGGAGACGTGGCCTACTTTCGTCCTCCGCCTTCATTTATATCCCTTCAAATTAAGACACTCCACTTCTAATTGACAATTAATTTCAACATCTTCGTATTTTAATAAGACTCCTCATCAATCTCAGCATGAAATATTCATTAGATTCCTAATAATTGCACAGGCAGCTGGTGGCTTGAGGGAGAAACGCATTGTGATGGCTGCGGATGAAGCAGCAATGTGGAATATCTAGTAAGTTTAGCCCAAAACACTCACTTTCATTTACACTGTGGCATAAATACAAGCATCTTTAAGTACACAAACACTCCTCAAAAGTGGATTGGAGGAAAACAGACCAGCTGCTACGAAGAGAACTCGATCTATAAGAATCCATCATCACACTTGAGTTGAAGGTGCTTAATGGCTTGCTTGAATAAGTGATTTATTACTTTTGTAAAGCGCAAGGATAAGTTGAACAGGTAAGCGTATAAGTCTGCATTGAGACTATAGAGTTTAGCTGCTCTCTAGGAATACAATCCAAGCACACACACAGAGATAATGGCAGATAAGAAACCAGAACTTCCTCTGTTCTCCAACAGAGAGCGCTCTTTAGTGCCTCACACAGTTGATTCATTGATCACACAGTGCCGAGCAGTTACTTCTCATGCAAAAAATACAGAAAGACACACAATCAAAACAGAGGAAGTAAGAACGAGGTGGTAGAAGTTGAAGGTTATGAACTTACAGGTTGGTTGAAAGGCTTTGGCTCAGATGGACGCATATGCAGGTGGGTCATCATTGCCTGCAGACGCTCGCTCTCTTTGGCCAGCTAGAGAACACACGTATACACACATATTTAATAAAAAAAAAAAAGCTGTTTTCTTACATAAAGCAAATATGTAAAGGTAAAATGTTTATATTTTTCATGTTTCCGGCTTAATATGCGATGACAACTATAAGTAAGCCATTTGAAGGTTGATTTTTCCAAAAATGTAATATTCTGAGGTGCCATCAAAACATCCAACCAACCTACCTAACACAGCAATACCCTTATTGCTGATAATATAATAAATAATAATATAACAAGAAAAAAATATTATACCAAAAATACATTTGTTACTTTACATTTGTTACAATATTAATAAACATATTATACTAATGTAAAAAAAATAAACATTTAATGTGTAAAAATATCTATAAATTAAAAAAATAATACAATACAATAAAAAAAACAATTGTAGAGCTTTTAATTAAACATTTTCTTAACTTTATAATGCCTAAAAATATTGTCTAATTTTCCTTAATTTGCGTATGTTGTTTTGTACTATTACTGTTAATACTGTTTTCGTTTGAACTAAAGCTTTGGCAGCACAAGTGTACAATTATTTGTAATGCCAATACAGCACATTAAAAACAGAGTGTCGTCATAGAGTATGGCGCTCTTGTGGGCGCCGTGGAGGGGAGGAGAGAGTGACTTTAGATATTCTCTTGTAAGGATAATTTTGCATTCTGCCTGTTAACTGAGTCAGCTCACATGTGACATGCTGTTTCACAGCTCTTGATACCTCCGAGAGAAAATATCTCTCTCACCATTCTTCTTCCCCTCTCCCTCTTTCTCTCGATTGCTGCGTCTCATTCAGAGACACTTGCCCTGTAACCACACTCGTCCTCGTTTGACATTCCTTCTGCCATTTAGAGAAAATGTGGAGGCAGCCAGCCCCTCTTAATCAGGGGGCGACACACTGAACGCTCCAAGACTGCCACCATACACTTTAGGGGCACTAAAAGTGCTATTTCTCACACGGAAAAAAACACAGACTGTTGCATTTTACTGCTCATTGGAGACTGTAAATTAAAATTTAAAAATATTCTAAAAATAATCTCCTGAAAATTTGAGTCAGGAAAATGTGGTTACTACGGCATTTATAGGCTTGCTAAGGTATTATGTATGGTTGCTGGGCATTGGTAGGTGATGCTAAGGCTTCAGGGTGGTCAAATAGGAGTGATGGCAATTACAGTATGATGGAGGCCTTAGCAAACGCCACCGTCTAATAATGCTTACTGGTCTGTTTTTTTTTAATCAAATGTGAGTGGTAAAAATCAACCTCAGGATGCGATTAAACTGTTGTTGTGTTGTGCTAGTGCTCTGCGGCTGTGCCCGGTGTTGCTGATGTCATCCACAGATCTGGGCTGTTTATTCACCCATTAGCTGATATGTGTGTTTAATGAGGGGTTGCTCCATGCTGGTCAGCCTGGTAATAAAAAGAGTGGAAAAACTGAGCTGGTATGCTGGGAGAGACAGCAGGTTGGCGAAGGGTGGTTCTGGTTGGTCTGGGTTGGCACTGGGGCGGTGGGGGAGTTGGGGGCAGAGTAGGTGACAGGACGGAGGTAGACGTGAAAGGAAATCCTCTTGGACGTGGACTGACTCTCTTGTCACTTCTCATCACCCCTGCATCGATCCGGACACGTGTTTAAACGCTCTTTGCGGGCAACAAAGTGAGCTCGCTGCCTGCGTGCCTGGCAGGGCAGTGTTTTTTGAAAGAGCTTTGTTGTGAGGGGTTTATTTTTGGGAATGAGACGCGATGGAGAACATGGAGGGGAGGTGGCGTGGAAAGAAAAGGGAAGCTGACCAATTACCAGGTCTGTCGGACTGGCAGTGATGATGGGAAGTTGTTCTGCCATGTAAAGCTGGAGGGTCTGAAGTGCTCATCTCAATCTAAGCCCGTCCAGGAGATGTGTTTTTTGTAAGCGATGTTGATTTACAGCTCCAAAAGCAGAGGAATTTCACAGCTGCAGGCGCAGTAAGGTTAGTTGACCTGCGTTTTAGTTTGGCGTGTTTGAGAAGGGCGAGCAGCTCCCCCATAGCTAACGGTCTCTTTAATGCAACCTAATGTGCCTGACCGATGTCCTGTCAGTGTCTGCCAATCCTAACTGTCACTAGACACTCTTCTGACAGTCTCTGCCTCCAAACAAATTACTCACACGGACAATAAAACATCGTCCACCACTAAACACAGCACATTTATGATAACAATGAAATGCAGCTTACATTACTTGTTCGAACATTCTCTTACATTGGAAATTCCTCCAAATTCTTCCCAAATTTATACCAAAAAGTGCTTTTTTTTGTTTGTTTGTTTTTTTTTTTTAAGCGAAACGTTTTGGACTTCTGCACACACATTTCAAATATCAATAAAGTCTACTCTGCACAATAATTATTTTTATTATAATGGGACTGCCACTTAAAAATTAAATGAAATCAAATCAATTAATTTTCACTGTTATATTAAATACATTTTTAAACAAATATACTTAATAAAGTCTTTTTTGTCAATTTGACAAGTGGTTTGCCTAGAGTCCTCGGCATGAGGGATGAGAGAGGTGCTGGGAATCTCTCTAATTGGGATCCATCAAAGGCAGATATTCTGGCCTCTTTCTCAAACCCACACTCTACATCACTCTTCCTTTTACAAGCTCCAGTGATCTCTATCAACTCATGTGGCATGTAATGGGCAGAAAATCATGCCAGCTGGTCGAGAGTGTTTTGTATGAGAAACAATTCTGGACCAAATCTCAGCATCGATACACCATATTTGTGAACTCACATTCTGCCTTGATCCACTAAAGTTGAGACTGATGACTCAATTACCTGCAACATAATTACGAGGCCAAAAAGTATACACCGAATGCACTCCCTTTGAATAAAGCATCTTGCAAATGCATAAATGTAAATGAAAACGCAGGAAGAGAGGTAGTCAGGCAGCTTGAATATTGCATTTGCAAGATTTTCAGAGAAATGTTGATTTTGCGTTTGTGCGCGCATCCCACCTGTATCTCCAGCTGTTGAACGACCTGCATCTGGACCCTGCACTGGGCCGTACTGCGATCATCCAGGGCGTGTTCACTGTTCAGGTGCCTGAGAGAGAGAGAAACGCAAACATGTGATGACATATCCTGATACACAGTCTACTAGATCAATCCGCGACCCGAACTAAACTCCCAGAGGGAGATCTGTAAGCATATTTGGACCATCTGCCACAAACCCTGTCGCTGACCTGCCTGATACAGTGCACACACACATACTGTGTCTCAGCGTTTTGGGATTGTCTCGCAGTTTGTGTGCTACAGTATGCTACAGTGTTAACACTACATACCCGGGCGTCACGTCCTGACGACACACACACACACTTATATCCAAATACAGAGGTCACTGGTGCATCAGAGATCAGGAATGTGACCATGCTGTTTGCTGAAGTGTATTTTTGAGAAATGAAAAGTATTTGTATTTATTGTCACACATTGAAAGAGATGAAAATAATATTAGACATGAATGTCTCTCTATATTAGGTCTGAATGAGTGTCCTAATGTATCTGTTATTCAGTTGAAATGCAGCTGGAGTGGAATATTATTTTGGAAACGGTTTTGTTTTTTGTCAGAAAGTGCCGCAGGCCATGAACTCTGAGTGGGAGTTGAAAAGGGGGAAAAAACACCTGGAGATGACTTCATTTGTTTTACTCATCAAACACTGCTTCAGATGGGTGAGCTCTGCCCTTAGTTATTCATGTTTTCTTTATGAAGCAAACCAAAACAAAACTCCAAGACACAACAAAACAAACAGATGATGCAGGGCTGACAACCAAATGAGAAAGCTAAATCAAAAAGTAAGTAAAAAAGTAAGAAGTTTAAGGGACGGTGTCAGATTGGACACAAAGATGGACTCTGGGGTCTGTAATTTTGGATCTTTCCTTTACGCCATCTGTCTCATCTCACACATTTTATTTACAACTTTCCCACGCTTGAAATCACACAAATGAACCCCTGCACACATATAAACGCACCTATAGCATATTAGCACTTTACAGCGTTTTGCACTGAACATATTTTACATTTCATACTTATACACTTATATTTTTATGTATATTTTTTAATTGTTTTATTTATTATTATTGTCTGTTCAGAACAACACTGTAGTACTTTGCCCAAGACAAGTTTCCTTTCGGGGACAAATAAAGTTTATCCTTTATTCTTTTATCCTTTAAACACAATTCTATAATCCATTAAACATCCCTATATCCAAACGATGATCTCATTCATCTTCTCCAGGTGTGTAGGAGCCCCTCCCACCTTCTAACCACACACCTGGTGAGGTTTAATGACTCTTGAGGTCAGGGGTCACAGGAGCACATTATAGAAGATATGAGTAGAAGAACCACAATGCTCCCTTTCTAGAAGCGTTGTAAAGCAAAATCTTCCTGAGGATTACTTTATATATTTCTTTCAGGCTAAAAAATATAATCTAGGGATGCACAATATATCGGTGCCATACTGTTTATATTAGACTTTTTATTCGAAAGTTATCAGTATTGGCCAATATTAGATATTTCATTTAATCTTTAAAAATATAAATAATTTAATAACACAAATAAATGTAATCTTTAATCTCAAAATTAACATCCATAATGTAGTGAGTATGCCTAAATTCACTTGTAGCATTTAAATCACCTGATTTTAGTTTTAAAATTTTTATTTATTTAGGAAAAATTGTATTATCACCCAATTATCAGTTATTAGCCAATTCTCAGCTTATCATATCAGCTGGAATTTTAATATTGGTGCAGTCAATCTCATCTGACACCTTTATTCGTGAGGGAATTCCTGCATTTTTTTGCACTCTCCTCATTGTCAGGGGCGGCCCACTGTGTTTTGGTCCCACACGGCGAGAGAGCGGCAAACGGAAGTGTGTGAGAAGCAGAATCTTAACCTTCGCAATACACACTCAGCCTCAGGATCCTGGCCAGCTTTATCTCCACAACACCCGTCGCATACAACAACCGTTTTGACTGTCCGACTGAAGTAAAAGAGGGGTGTGCATTCGCTCTCTCATGAGAAATTAAACAAAAACAATGATGTCACCCACTCAACTAATCTAGGCGCAGATAGACATTTTTCCCCGCAAGCACATGATGATAATAACAAAAACATGATCTCATCTTACTCTCCCTCTGCACCCCCGTCTCTCTCTTTTTCTGAATAAAGGAACAGACCACAAGTTTTATGGCTCATAATAAACAGTAGCAGCGTTTTTCCGAGAGACCCGACAATGAGGCAGAGTTTACTCCCTGCACCCCAACAGGGATTTGAGGAGCATTTACAACAGTCACAGAAAAAAGTCACAAACCAGCCCCGACAAAGGATTTGAGTACTCTAACACATGTCGCCCTGGCATGCCAGAGAAAACTGAACATCATTAAAGAGCTCAGATTGAGTAGAGCTGAGTTGAGTGTGTGAAATAGAACAAGAGAGAAACAGGATGAAAATTTAATTTAAAAGTGAATGAGTGTTTTATCATTCTCACACTACTAGCTAAAAAGAGAAAACAAGAGACAGATTTCATCTAGGGATAAAAAGTGTCCAGATGAAACTGACGAGACTTTTTCAGCATTTCTTGCACTGATTTCTGTGAAAAGGATTTTTAAAAATTCTAAAATGGTGTTAAAAAGTTCTGAGAGTATTACACTCTCAGTAGTTCCTACCGGACATGTTTTATGCGTTAAACTGCACTGCTTTTTAATATTTTTCTATGTTAACATTTGCTAGGTGGATATTCTTGACCACTGACCATGTCTCACTGCTTCTTCTATGTCTCATGCTTGAGTACCACATGACACAAAGTCAACTTATAAGAAGTTCAACTGTTGACATGCAGGCTAACACATCAAGGTTAATTTCGAAACACTGGACCAATCAGAAGAAACAGGGTGAGGAGCAAGTATCACTAGTGTGTTTACAGTAGCAAATTGCAAATTATTTCATCTCAAAGGAGGCACTTAGCTATGGCCAGGATGATTATGTTATTTTATTTTATTTATACAATTTTAAATAATAACAATACTAATCATCAACCTTCGTCTTGTGTTTCTAAATGCAAAAATGTTTTCTGTACATTTGTCTCCCTAATGGAACAGTTCAACCGTTTAAAAACCATTGCGTGACAGTCAAAAACATCCATCTAGTGCGTGTTTAGATAGACCAACAATTTAAAAAAGGACACATTGTGTGAACTTCCCCTTATTGGAAGCTGAAAGCATTATTAAATTACTCAAACTGAACATGCATGGGGCAAGGGCAATGTGTAGATCTGTGTGAATGGCGGGCGTTCGTTCAGCGGGCACTGATTCCATGTGGGCCTCATTTCCTACTATGAGTGGCAGGCTGCCAGATGGGGCTATAGAATAGACAAAAAGAACAGAAGGAGAGAGAGAGAGAGAGAGAGAGAGAGAGAGAGAGACTCTTCTCTTCCTGTCTTTAGTGATGACTAAAGAGTTCTGACTAGGCCATGGTGCACGGCACTGACGGTAATATCTGTCACCCCCTCCCTTCTTATCTCACGTCCTCTCCCCCCTTCTCCGCTTGCCCCGAGGCTACGTGAAATGAGATACCGTGCAACCAAACAACAGCTTTACTCTTAAAACTTTCCCAGACTCTCTGGCTCTTTGATGTGTGTGTCAGCGACCATTATACGTGCTTCCCGTCCGCGTGCACCGAACACGCTCTTCTCCCCCGTCGCCAGAGACGACTGGAGGAAATTTACATACATCTTTCCGGCCTGTCAATACAGCAGTCCCCTCGAGGAAGCACAGCTCTGGAGTCAAAAGACAATGTGAGGGCCGAGCATCTCGTCAAAGGAAATAAACACGCAGGGATGTGACTGCCACTCATTAACGGACAAGAACACCCGGCTACTGTAAGAGACGGCGTTGACCTGCCAGAAATCAAAGGAGGTGTTTTGAGAGAGAGAAAATAAACAGCAGAGAGAACGTGCATTGCGAGCCTCGAGCCCGCTGGGACAACGGCAGCAGCAACAGTCTAGCTCACCCTCTTGCGACAGGCGGACATGTCAGGACTTTCCACTGTGAAGTCTCATTATTTTAACACACAGAGACAATGGGGCTGTTTACATCGCCTTCCCTGTCTGATCTCTTCCTCTCTTTATCTCCTCTCGCCCCCCCAGCATCCCTAAAGACCCCAAACTGGCAAACACGCACGCAAAGAAAAGAGATGGCGAGAAGAAAGAAGATTGGGAAAAGGGAGATAGAGGAGGGGAGGGAGCCTCCTTTTGATGTCTTTGCTTGTATTCAAGAAACAAAAGCTTCTAATTGTAAATTAGCTAATTAAGTAAACCACTAACGAAGCGTGAAAACAATTTGCTTGACCCAGCAGTGGAGCGCTCAGGGATAGAGAGGCGGAATTATGGGAGCAGGGAGTTAATCGGCCTCTGACAGCATTGAAGAGCTGTGGGCAGCTACCTGATCAGACGCACAAACACACACACATGACAGGTCAACAGGAAGATTACAGAACATCTGTCTCTATGGTTACTTGCAGGGCATGTGTGAACTAGCTTCCTGTGCAAAAGTATTAAGCTGGCACTTTTGGGAAAAGTCTTGCGAAAACCATACAGCTCAATTATGGAGTTTTTGCACTCGGTCATAGTATGAATTCAGAAATTAACAGGCCCAAAAGGTATGAAAAGTCAGTTTACCTTTAGTGCATCAACTTATAGTTTAAGTAATACTTAAAATTAGTATTAGTACTGTTAGTAGTTTGGGACCTGCTTTGTAGCATGTGTGAAAAAAGTGTTTATGCTCACCAAGGCTGCATTTATTTGATCAAGAATATAGGAAAAACTGTAATATTGTGAAATATTGTTACATTTAAAATAACTTCAGCAAAGCTGAATTTCAGGAGCCATTACTCCAGTCTTCAGTGTCATAATATGATCCTTCAGAAAGCATTCTAACCAGGATTTCAGGATTCTTTGATTAATATAAAGTTCAAATGGTGTGTACATACATTTAAAATCTGTGATCTACTATGAATTTGCTTGCAGCTCTACAGAGGGCACTCTACTTTGATTGTGTTCTGTGACTGTGAAATACCTGTCTATCAAGCGTTAGCTCTCTTTTTTTCATACACCAGTACAGTCCCACAGCACTGGTGAATGTCTCGCGCTCTCTCCAGCAATAACCTTGCACCCCCCACATCCCTGTGGAATTCATTCGTCTCTTGTCTGTTCAAACATCACACCTGAACACAGCTGTCAGTCGCCTGGCTTTCTTATTGCCTTTCCTCTCATCCCCACACTCACTTTAGCACAAGAGAAGGCCTTTAGTTTAAGTGATCTGCAAGCTCATCGGAAAAAGGATGAATGTGCATTGACAGAGGGTAACGCTAACAGCCAGAGACTTGTTTTGTGGGATGCAGCAGGCAATGATGAATGTTTTGCTGCTCGGCGGGGGGCGGGGCTCGAGTTACGAGCTTTGACATGAATTTAGCACATTACATGCTTGTGAAGTGGATTTGATGGACAGATGTCACTCACTTGATGAACTGGCCCATGTCCTCGCAGAGCGCTTCGCAGCCAGGCCACTTGCACTCGCCGTGTCCGTAGAGTGGGTGGGAGGCCGTGTGTTCCTCGTGGGTTGAGCTGAAAGAGACAAAAAAGATCTGGTTAGTCGAACTATACATGATTACATCACACTAAACCTTGACATAAGTGGTAGGAGAGTTTAGGGAAAAAATTGTTTGCTGACACAGAAATCACACACCTCATCTTTAAAACATCTGAACTCTTGCTGATGTCACATGATCTTAGAAATCATTCTAACATGCCAATTTGGTGCTCACAAAATATCTTATTATTATCCATGCTGAAAACAGTTGCACTGCTTAATATTTTTGTGGAAACCGTTATATATATATAATGTATATTTTTCTTCTTTAAAAACATCTAAATACCTGCTTGCTTAATCAAAACAGCCCATTGGTGTCAAGATCTTATTGCAATTTTTTCAGGCAGTCAGCATGGTAGCCTCACACACATGTGACCAATACAAAACAATGAAGCAATGGAAACAGTCTGAAACGTTTCCTGTCCAGGAAAGCCGATAGTTTTGAGGCAGTCCTTCATGAAGCTTTGAACAAATCCAGTTCGAGAGGACCTGGTAAATGTAAAAAACAACAGCTTTTCCATAATTGTGACTGACTGGCTTCCAATAGTAAGTGCATATCATTGTATTAGCATCTTGCACTACAACGCAGGTTCAAATGTCCTCAGATGCGGCCAGGAACAACAAGCCGCCATCTAATTATGAATGAACGTGGATGATCTTCAGATGTACGGATAAGGTGGCTGCTGATGTGCTGACAGGGCCTACTGGTGGGGCCTGAAGGATAAATGCTACGGTCTTGTTTCGTTTGAGATACAGCCACTGTGTGCTCTGTGGCCGAGAAGTCTGGATCAGATCTCTCTGGCCTGGCTTCAGTAGAGACCCATAACAGATCAGCCTCGAACCCCCGCCAGTAGTCTCATCCAGCGATTTTTCATTTCAGGCCTGGCCAGCCGCCACGGTCTAGCATGTAGCTTGGGTTTTTTTGTGAGGGCAGGGACCACAAAATCCTTCGTCATGTGTCTGACTGCTGCTAAGCATGGGCACGGGGCTAAAGGGGTTGTTGGGGGGGTGCGTGGCTTGTGGTGGTTGAAGGTCTGGGGAACTCTTCCCAATTCCACATCAGAGTACTGCTTAATATAAAGCAGCTTGCTAGCAGATGAGGCCCTCCTGATGCGGCGTGCACACACACGATCCCTCCTCCTCTTCATCAGATGTGCTGGCAGTGGACGGCCCACGCAATTCAGAAGCTGCTTGAGCGCTAGACATTACAAACTACTGGCAACCACACTGTCCACATGTGCCATGTATTAACCTCACCGCACAGTTTTCTTCCCTTTTGAGTTGCGTGTGTGTGTGTTTGTGTGTGTAAATGTGTTAGGCCAAGTCAGGGAGAGCAGTGTTAGAAGAAAACATGATGGATAGCGCACTTTTCTTTCTGTTTAGCCATGTCCGCGTAGCATGAAAGGGTGGGGTGTGTGTTAGTGCTGCTGGTGTGTGTGGGTTTATTTAGCTGTAGTTTTGAGGCCCCACCAGTGTAAAAATGGCCATATTACATAAAAAGATCCACAGAACTGCTGCAAACGACACACTGCAGCACCATATAAGTGTATCTCAAAAGTTTGATTAAAAACTTGATTAAAAAACAGAAATGTTGATTAAAAGCGTTTTTGCTGGAGCTTTTATTTATATAGTTATGCACACTATACATACATAAACTATATTTAAAAAAAGCTAAATAAACTAACTAAATAAAAACAAACAAATATTTAAATGTTCAAAAAGGTTTAAAATGCATGCAAATTTTAGATTCATGGTGAGAAATAAATATAAATTTTTTTTCAAATCATCTGCAGTTGGTAGGCAGATAGTAAAATCTGGACACTGGTTGCAACTACAAACAGCTAATAATAAATAGCTAATAATTTACAATTGACAGTAGGCTATAGTAAGCAAACAAACAAGTGCTATAGCTATGCTAATGTAACATTTATTAGTCAGTCAAATTTTATATTATATATATATTTTTTTTTTATTAATTTGCACAATGAACATATTGTAAGTGTGTCTTTGTGTGTATGTATAGGGTGGGCCGGCTCTGTGTAGGTTTGATAAACTACCCTTATATAAGAACAATAGCAGTCTAAGTTACATCCACATTTAGATGGATAGGTAAACCCTGTGTGTATATACATATGTGCGTGTGTTACTCACTGAGTGCTCTGCAGGTGAGTGCCTTTGGAATAAGGCGTGAGATGCTCGTCACTGGACTCCTTGGTGAAGGACGAGATCCACTCAAAGAGTCTTGCTCTTAAAAATGGAAAGAATGTATGAGTACACCACAGTAGGACCAATTTGCTCTCACACAGCTGCTCACCTCTCAGCTAAATTATCGCAGAACCCTTTCACCAACTTCACACGCACACACACACACACGCTAAACTGGCACAGGGGCGTCAGTCATGCTGAAGGCATGCTATGTTCTGAGGAACTCACACGAGCAACCAATATCAAATGAACCCAGACATTTTACATCAGCTCATCAAACGGCACCTGACAGCAGAAACCTTGAAATATGTGTGACAAAAATATCTATTTATGAAATCTTTCATGTAGCAGTTGCACTCTGAATGCTCATGACAAAAATACATTAGCATAGCTATAGCACTTGTTTGCTTACTTTCAATAGTGTCAGTTGTTACTTATTGTTTGCAGTTGCAGTCAGTTTCAAGATTTTACTATCTACCTGGCAATTGCAGATGATTTGATAAAATGTAAATATTTATTACTAACCACGAAACTAAATTTTGCAAAAAAAATTATATTTACATTTATATACTTATTTTTCACTTTTGCAATTAGTATTACTTGTTTTTACTTTCACGCACACACACACACACACACACACACACACATATACATATAATATATATATAATCTTATTTCTAACTTTTGCAATTATTATTTACTCGTTTTTTACTTTCATATTTTTGATTAATCATACCATTGACACAATATAAAAAAAAATCATCAGGTGAAAATTATATTTACATTTATATACTTATTTCTCACTTTTGCAATTAGTATTACTTGTTTTTACTTTCACGCACACACACACACACACACACACATATACATATAATATATATATAATCTTATTTCTCACTTTTGCAATTATTATTTACTCGTTTTTTACTTTCATATTTTTGATTAATCATACCATTGACACAATATAAAAAAAAATCATCAGGTGGACTATGAGGTATGCCTGTGCATTTTCCACTGACCTGTCTCTCTTTGGAGTGTGCACAGAGTTCTGTCCATTTGGCAAAGGATGATGGGGGATATGAGGTGAGACCTTGGAGGCTGAATATGAGGTAGTGTTGGAGCTATTGGTGGTCAGATCGAGGCCCTCGTGTTTCATGGCCTCCTCTGTGCTCTGAACACAGGCCACATCCTTCCACAACTGCTGCAGGTCAGTGGGACACATGGCTGTGATGGACAGAAAGCAAGCAAGATATTACTACAGACTATAAATCATTATTTATTACCATAAATCATAAAGTCCTTAGACAGAAAAGCGAAAACTACCACCTTTAGTAAACTATAAGTGCTATAATCCACAATCTCCATTGAAACACAAACACAAAAATGTGCTTTAAAAACCCTGGGTCAACAACAGGTGCCATATGATGAAACCTTTTCTAGGCAGAGAGTTTTTCAGTATGTTTATTAGTTTTTCTTATCTTTGTTGTTCTAAAGACTATAAGCCCAGCGTTGAATGACGAGAGCTCCTTCGGAAAGCATCCAAACCTGTGTCTCTCCTTATCACACCTCCAAAGCCCCCCTTCCACCTCACCGCATCTTGAATGGTGGCCAGCTGGCAGTGCATCCTGCCCCAGAGATCACAAAACCTGGCAGTGCTCTGACATTATTGTGGCAAGCCATAAAACACCAGGCGCACACCGTGCCACACTTCACTACGGGAGGGGGGCATGCCCAGTGGGACTTAAGTTCACAGGACAGCAGAAGGAGGGACCCGTCCAAATTGGAGGAAGCAAATGGCTAATTTCAGCATGTTTTGTTATCTTTCAGCATCTCTAGAAATCCCCCTCGCTACCTCCATTTGTAATTATCACTGTCCCGACCGGCACTGCACCTCACTGGGTGAATTAATCTTGGTGAGATGCTCTCTTGGCATTTTTTCCCCCCTCAAACTTGCTGAATTCGGGATTGTTTTTTCTCTTGGAAAGGCAGAGGGGGTCTAGTTTGGGAGGGAGATTTGAGGGTGTAAAAAAAGAGGAGAAGAAGGGGGGCCACCCAAGCTCGTCTGGCGCACACTGTTCCCGAAAAGCCACAGCCTGCTATGCTATCTCACATGGCAAAGACTTAATAGCAATCTAAATATTATGTCTGGTCCGTCCGCATTCTTGTCCCGGACCCCGCCAAAACAAAACTCCTCGCCTGGCCTGGCTCTCTTCATCCCCCCTCCTCCCTCTCTTTCCAGCAGGCCTGGGGCCAGGGAAATGATGTATGGCCACACTTGCAGCTACAGGCTGTTGTTCACTAGTCACAGGACAACCTGACAGAGCACTAAAGAGCCATGGATGTATTTTAACCCTGCAAATAACAGAGCCAGCCCGGTGGCATGGCGCTGTTGCCGTGGACAGGGGAAGGGAGGTGATTTCTTTCTACTTTTGTGAAAGAGCAGCCAGAACATAGGAAGTGGAAGGGAGGACACAGGGTGGAGATGGAGCGGTTTACCTACAGTGAAGTGTTTTTGTATCTCATTTTCTTCCACACACACAGTCGCACACACACACAGAGCCAGGTGAGGCGTTTCCCCTGTGGTTGGCCACACAGTCTCTATTTCTCACACACACACACACACACACACACACACACACACACACACACAAAACATTGAAGCCAACCTTAGCTTTACATACAAGTGTGTGTTCCTGAAATTGTGCAGTATTTTGCATTTAGTATTCGGTTTATTGAAGCTGATGTGTCATGACGTTAAAACTTTACTTAATGTTCAGAGACTATGAGTAAACAATTGTTAGGTCGATTTCTCTGACATGTATAAACAATGTGGTGTTTTCAAAACATTACTCTGTTAGTATGAGTAGCTTAGCATAGCAACACTGACTCAACCAATGGTGTGAGTTTGGGATGGGGTTACCTGTTTACTTGACCAATGGCAGGCGAGTGTTAGGGAAACCTGCTTGGAAACAGACATTATTTTTGAATTTCTTCTTGATGCAGCATAGGTTAAACACCTCATCTTTAAATGTAAAGAAGTGTGTAATTTCTGCACCACTTGCATCAAGTGCACTACCGTTCAAAAGTTTGGGCTCAGTAAGACTGTTTAAAAAAAAAAGAAGTCTCTTATGCTCACCAAGGCTGCATTTATACATTTGAAAATACAGTAAAAACAGCAATATTTTGAAATATTATGACAAGCTAAAATAACGGTTTTCTATTTTAATATATTTTAAAATGTAGTTTATTCCTGTGATGGCAAAGCTGAATTTTCTAATATGCTGATTTGGTGCTGAGAAAACATTTGTTTTTCAAAATTTTTTGAAGAAAGTTTACAAGAACAGTGTTTATTTGAAATAGCAAAGTTTTGTTGTCATTTTGTTACCTGTTATTTTTGATCAACTGAATGCATCCTTCTGAACAAAACTATGTTAATTGCAATGCATGCAATTTGTATGTAATGTATGCAATTGTAAAATAGGAAATTCTTTAAAATATTACTGACCCCAAACGTTTGAATGGTAATATATAAAACGTAAGCATTTATGCTACTGTTTCACCGCAGCTCGGACTACATTACACTTTCTGATTACCATCTAAAAGTGATTAATATTCATAAGTAGATGGGCAATGAGACTGCTCACAAGGCAAAATAACAAATTCCCCTTTGGTTTATCATGTCATTTATCATGAAAAGTTTGGCATGGTGATCACAAAGCATTACGCTGAGTCCGACAGATCTTGTTGCGCCCTTTGGACAGGAATTCAAATTACTTACTGTAACTGTTAAGTGAGTATTACAAAGAAACAAAAGTCACTTGGGTTTGAAACTCAAGCCATTCTGAGAGAATAGGTTGGACACGCCAAACAAACACGAAAACATCAACAACAACGGTTGGCGCCACCCATGGATCAGAGAACAAATCCTTTTCAGTGGCAGCTACGGCCAAGCATGACTAGCCAGAAGAATGCACATGGTTGGCTGGCCAGTCATAATGGAGGGCTTCTTTTCAGAGAGGGATTGTGGGGAAATTCCGTGTTTCTGCTCTGTTGCAGGATTTGTTGAAGGGATTCCAAGAGCCCAGAGTTTATTGTTCATCAGACCCCTTGAAACAATGACATAAGCAATGGGGGTGGGCGCGAGGGTCTACGCCAGAAAGATGCCAAAGTTGAAAGTTTACAGCTGTCGTGAAAAATTATTTTCATCAATCTGCGAACCTTCCTCTGGCTTGCTCCTTGCACTCTCCCTCTCTTTTTTTTCCACCAGACTACTTTTCTAAAAGCAGCCGTGTGCATGTGTGTGTGTGTGTGTGTGTGTGTATGGTAGGCCCACTCAGGATTCTGGATCTTGAGTCTATGTTTTCTTAAGACTGAAATAATCAGAGATGTCAAGAGCAATGGGTGAGAATGAGAGTCAAGCTCATAAAAGACTGGGATAATTTTGGAGGCCCTATCGGCAAGAGTGGCAGGGACTTTGGCATGGAAACTTGAGTCGGCTCCCTGTTTGTACTGTCCTGTTGAAGCTCTTGTAATGTTACGACCGCTGTGGAACAAGTAAAAGTTGATGTGCCTAATTTTGGCGGACAGTGGCCAGGTTGCAGTCAAGATCCATTTCTGGTAGGGCCCTTTGACAAAACAAGGAAAAATGAAAAAAATACATTCAAAAATGATCCAAAACCTCCATTTCCTTTTGTAGGATAAGTGCATCTGGAGCGTGTAAAACTCATGGGCGCACACACATAAGCCGCACACACATAAGCCCCCTCCTAGCCTGTGCACAAAGTCTGGTGAATTTTGTGGCATATTTTACCTATTATCCAAATGACTGCCTTCCACAAAACCAACAATCAAGCTTTGCTTTTATCTCTTTATGAGCTGATTAAGTTAACAAGCTTCACATGTGGCTCTATGGACATGGCTGTAGTTAGTCTCCGGGGGACTCCATCCCGCTCTAATAGATTGAGATGTTAGCTCATTGCCAAATTTTGGAGGAAGATGAATAAGGGATTCATTTTACAGCCAGCTTTATTAGCATTCAACGTTGCGCGTGTAGTAGCGGGGCAATCTGAGATCATGCATGAGAGTGTGTGTGGTTAGGGCTGACTAAGGAAGAAAAAGTGGGCGGCGAACACAGGTCTGGCTTCAGCCTGAGACTGCCATCTGGTCCTGGGCTACGGGTATGAACACAGATGCTGCATTTATTTAGCACGCTGCATTTCCTCTAGAGCTCCACTTTCCTTTAATAGGCATCACGAAAGGAGTGAATCAGACACTCTGTGGTGTTTTTCTGACTGTTGAGGACAGGAGGAGAGCTGTGAAAGAGACAGACCACCGGGTTGAGAGGTCTGCGGTTGTAGCACCTCACCCTGGGGCTAGACGGAGTCACATGTTTGTGGTCAATATTGACCAGCTAATAGAGCTGGGGAAGAGTTTAAGATATACATGACTTATCTGCAATAAAATTGTCTTATACAAATCCTAAATTCAGCCAAATTCCCTTCCTTTCACAGTAAATGTTTAAAAAGTATTTAAAATAAAATAAAATTCTTTTTTTTATCTTAAACATAATTGTATTTTGTCTAATTAAACAAGTACATTTCCCACTTTTTTCAAGTATAAACTAGATAAAAAACAAGTAAAAAATCTGCAAGTGCAGATATACAAAATACACTCATATTAAAGAAACTATGAAAACAAGTCTTATTATTTTATGCAGTGTTGAGAACTAAAACTATTAAAAACATGTCAATAGATGCAAGGATGACTTAGTTTAAAAAGAAGCACTAAAATTACTAACTGGAAATACAACTGAACTAAAACTGAAAAAAAAGCACATAAAAATGACTAAAAACTAAACTAAAATTAAAATGAAAAATAAAAATATACAAATAAAGCTAATAAAAAATATATATAAAAAAGTATTATAGTATAGAAATAATACCAAAATCACACTGGGCAGCACCTGTAGCCTCACAGGATGGCAAAGCGTCTACTGAAACTCAGTGATGCAGTATATCAGGTACTGTCTCACAAACACTGAGTATTCAGACATCTTACTCATTTGCAGGAAAACGGTCAATCCTGAGCCTTGTTTGCCAGATAAGTATGCATACTGTGTGTGTCTGCATTGGTATGTGTACCTTGCTGCAGGCTCTGAATGGGTATTGCTCCTTGTCCTGGCTGTAGGTTCACCAGGCCCTGTCTTTGTAGATTCAGAATGTGTTGCTGCTGTAGTTGTTGCATCTGGATCAGTTGCTGCTGGAAAGCCAGCTGTTTATTCCCCAACTGCTGCTGCTGAGAATGAGAGAGAGAGAGAAGCATGTTACACAACAAAACAAATGACTGTGTAAAGTGAGAGGAAGAGACTTGTAGAGCTGCAGGATGGAGAGGATGGGAATGATGAGACATTCATTGGCTTTTATAAGCCTTCAACCTTGTCCAGGACATGTTTAGATAGGACATATCCTGGAATAGAGATATTTTCTCCACCAATCACTAAAGCACTTCCTGTGGTGGTAGACAACAAGCAGACAACAAAATGCTGAGAAATGTTGCAGTTCAAAGTGTCGAAGTGCATTGTGAAGCCTCGTGTATTAAGAGATAAAACATTAATCTGGGAGTGACAGTTCCATGTGGTCTAGGACCGACACCAAAGACACGCTCGCAAACATGCTTGTTCATTCCTGCGTGTAGCAATCTGTTAGCATGTGGTTGGCGCGCAATTAACACGGCAATAAACAGTGACTAATAACATCTGTGCACAATGTTAAGAACAGTTCCAGATTATATGACATCAGATGTTTATCATTTTACGATAAGGCTTGGTATTTTTTCCACTATGCATGAAATGTGCTTTGTGAAACTTGAGAAGCGTGATTCCAAAACCCTCTTTCTCTGTTTCATAAACAGGTCTCAATGTGTGCAGACAGTCACTATTCAGCTATCAAGAGATATATTTTTGTTCCAGCCGACTTCTGGTGATGTTTAACAAAGAGATTAAAAATGAGCTATGTCAGCTATGAACATAAACTAGTGTACTTCAAGACTTGTCCTAAACTTGTATAAAAACATGACATGAGTGAGAAAAACCCATCAGATCTTTGCAAGAGGTGCAGGAACAGAAAAAAGGGCCAAGGTGACGAAAAAGGCTGGAAAAGATCGATTTAAAGGTAATGCATATAATTTATGATGTTTAAAGTGACACTGCATGGCAACATTAACTCAACCAATGGCATTTTGGGAGTCTGGGCCAGGACGAAAGTATACTTAATATATATTAAGAAGGACAAAAGTACTTTATATATATATATATTAAGCAACACAACTGTTTTCAAATTTGATAAAAATAAACATTTCCTGACCACCAAATCAGCATATTACAGCATATTTCTGAAGGATCACCTGACACTTAAAACTGGAGTAATGGCTGCTGAAAATTCATCTTTGCATCACAAGAAAAAATTACACTTTAAAATATATTAACATAGAAAACTATTATTTTAAATTGTATTTTTGATTAAATAAATGCAGCCTCAGTGCACCAAAACTGGTCCAAAAAATGGAAGACAAGTAGTGCTTTAGAAACCTTGTTGAAAGTATACATGATCCATATCACCTTTAAAACAATAAAGAAACCAGTACACACTCATTTTTAGAGCAGATAGGTGGAGAGTTCTGTGTGTGTGTTTGTATGTGTAAGGGTAAGGGTGAGTGCTATGGAATACATGGCATGTGCCGATAAGGTCAGTTGGTGTCGTGGTGATAAATGTCCTCCTTCCTGAACTGGCCTGAGTCGAACCACTGTTTCCAGCAACAAGCTTTTTGATGTTCCCCCAATGAGAGATGGGTCTTATCTTCTTTAAGATAACGGCACGAAAAAAAGTGGAGGGGAGAGAGAAAAAATGTTGAATGAGGGAAGGAAAATAAAAAAAGAAAAATAATTAAAGGTAGTTTCTTAATCTCACTGTCAGAGAAGTGTTGAGGCCTCTGCCTGGGGCACGTGGCCCCATGGGAAAGGGCCACCCTGTTTGGGTCCCATGGGACACAGTTCAAGTTCTTTAACACATTGTGTCTGCACGCTGTTTACATTAGATGCAGTTGAGTGGCTAAAGCTAGCGGAGTAACAGGCCTGTCAGCTTGATTTATGAGCACATCAAACAGAGTTTGGGCACGCCAGGCCCGACTGACAGCACTACTTCATTAGGCTGACTCCAGGGTGACTCCACAGCTCAACCGTCAAACTGAGAGAGAGAGAGTGAGAGTGGCTGAAACAATAAAAAAACAGAAAAAGAGCAAAAGTTGGGATTGATGATGCAAAAATGTGTGCAGCAACCATCTCTCCCTTTCTTCTTTCTGTCTATCTCACCTCTCAACCTGTTTGTGCTGACTGGCAGTGATATGGGTGGCAATTAAAGCCTCTTTTACTGAGAGAGAGCATAACGTGTCATCTCTCCATCTTCAACTGCTTTACAAAAACAAAGTCCTGAGAGTTTGAGTTTCCAATTTCAATCACAGATTATATGAACAGGCCACTTGCCATGATCGTTGAAACTTTATGCTAATAATGACGAATGAAAGGAAAATAAAATATATTGATGACAAAATTGAGGAGGTGGTAGTACGGGCCAGATATGCAGTTAGCTTCATGGCTTCAGGGGGCAGTTTTATGTGCTAGGTGGACCAACAGCATGGCAGAACAAAGAAAAGGGAGGTTTCAGAGGATGAAGGGCCTTAAAAGAAGACAAGAGGGATGAGAAACACCACACATACTTGTGATGCTATCTTCTTTCCTCTCCTCACGCCTGACTGTTTAACTGTTAGTCCAGTGCTGTCAGTGCACTCGTCCCCAGGGGAATACCAATACATGACAGACAACACACGCGTAAACACACACTCACACAGATGAAACTTTTAAGATGGCCTAATATAATATGCTTATATCAGCTTTCCATTGCACTGATACTCCAGACAGCATCCATTTATTAGTTATCTCCATAACTAAAATTGTATGATAAAACCTAAAATGTACTCTACAGTATAAGTATGAGAAATTTTATTTAATAAATAAAATAAAATAATAAATACAACAAAATAAGAAAATAAAATACAATTAAAAAAAAGAAATAAAATAAAAATGTACCCTTTTAACATGAATAATTTCATTTTAATTTCCATCATGCAACAAATATTAATAATATAAAAAAGTAAAATAATAAAAAAATAAACACTTTTAATATTAATCTTGAAGCAAACATCTTTAAGCAAAAAAGCTACAGGTGACGGTACAGTAGACTTCCAACCTAATATAATTGTGCAGTGGGGCAGCAGAAAGGAGGACTTCGGTTTCTCACAGAGACAGTAACGCAAAAAAATACGTTAAGTATGTACAACGTGTCTGTGACGTTCTGGCCAAGCATGTTAGCATACTTGAATAGGGCCATATTTCAGGCCGACTAAAGAGGCCCAGAACAAACGTGAGCTGATCCATGGGGAAGAGGAGCTGACCACTGCTCTCCCAATTTAATTTCCCTGCTCTCCTTCCACTCACACCGTCTCCCTAGCTCCAATATTTAATAAGGGAAAATGTCTGAAAAACTCCTGAGGCCTTGAATAAGGTTAGTCATGCTTTTTTATACCTTTCCCCTCCCTCTCACTTTTCAATCTTTTTCTTTTTTTTCCCATGGTCTCTGTCACGTTCCTTGACTATCTGTGGAAAATGTCAGGATACTGGTCTCATTTGCTGGAGTGTGTGTGCCACTCTGTGTACGTGTGTTTCAGGCACCTCGTGCTCTATCAGTCACAATGCTGTCTGGAGCATATCTAACGGGTATTAATCCCTGTCCTCCATGGCCTATAGCATCCACACTCACTCACCACCCGCCTCAGTCACTCACCTGCTATGAAGTCAAGAGCTCATTCATATTTTGATCCTCTCAGTCACAAATACAGAGGACAGCAAACCACACTCAACCCTACACAACTCATACGAGAATTTACCTATTTGATTTTTGCAGTGGAGTTGCAGAGACCATAATACAAATGGACTGTAGATGATTCTTTCATTTAAACCAGTTGAAGCTAACTAGCTAGTCTCCTAACATGATTAGTGCTGGGGTCTGTTTTCTGATTTTTGGGCAGTTTTCAGATGGAATGCCAGCTGAGAGACTAGTTACTGTAAGCCTGCTAAAAACCACCTAAGTCCGGCTTGGAAACAATCTAGACTATCTTAAATTATTAATTATTATTATTAATTATTGTTCCTGTGGCTCAAAAAGTTGTGGGTTCGATTCCCAGGGAACACACATACTGGTAAAAAATGTAAAGCCTGAATGCACTGTAAGTCGCTTTGGATAAAAGCGTCTGCTAAATGTAAAAATGCTAAAAATTATTAATAAATTAATTATTAATAAACCAGCCGAGACACATTTGAACATTTGTTAAGCAGGGCTAACCTCAAACACACAGTCCACTTGCCCTCTTTTCATCTACACAGGCTACTATACCCTGCATCTTGCTAGTAACTGTGCTAGCAGCTATGTGCTAATCTCTGCTATTCTGATGGTTTCAGGCTCTTTTCAGATTTGTAAACACATCTCACTGACCAGTCAAACCATTTTAACACCAGTTTAGAAAGGTTAGGAGACAAGCTAGACCGATTTAACACCTGTTTGTGGAGGCTGGGAAGCTAGCAAGGCTTCACAGGCTATCTTTTTAGTAACTGTGCTAGTAGCAGCTATGTGTTAATCTCTGCTACTTGGGGCTTTTTTAGATAGACAGGCTGCAAAACTGTCTGATTGACCAGTGGGAAAGCTGGGAGACTAACTAGACTATCCTAACTTTCTTAGGCTGGTTTAAGATGTTGTTTTCGGAGGGATGCAAACACAATCCCCTATTTTCCTTTCACCTTCACAAGCTTCTGTAACCTGCATGTTGCTAGCAACAGTGCTAGCAGCTATGTGCTAATCAGTGTTGGGCAAGTTACTCTGAAAATGTAATTAAATTACTGATTACTCCTTTTAAAAGTAATCACGTTACTGTTCTGATTACTTTATTTCAAAAGTAATTAGTAATTAGTTACATTACTAGTTACGTTACTTTTTTACGTTACTTTGGTTTGACATGGCAGAATGCCAGCAAAGAGCGCTGCATTTATAATCTCTAAAAGACATCTCAGTTCAACGCAATCTCACAAATCTCTGTTATAACACAATAAATATATGCATAATGAATCGTTCATAATGTCTACAATTCGTGTGTTATAATGAGAGGATTCGTGAGCACGCAAATTTCAGCACTGCATTTCTCAATGCTGCAAACACGTGTTATAGCCTAAATTGAAACTCTGCATACGCTTGCACCTGTTAATCGTTTATATTTTATATTATTTCATGTTGCTATTGTGCAATAGATGAATAACAATTTATTTGTTTTAGAAATTTTATGCTTAGATATTTCTATTTTGCGGGAGTCCCGTGAATAATTTTATTCTCCCGCATCCCGCACACACACGAGTGTCTACCCGCCCGCACCAGCACTCGCCCATCTTGTCCCACGCCGCACTCTGTTGCGTCGGGTCTCTCGGGAGAGCAGGTCTCTAATCCACTGGCACTTGACTTGACAGTGCATGAGCTACATCCTTTTTACAATCTAGATTAGAAATCACTGCATTCTGCCAGCAATGTAACGCGGCAGTAACGTATAGAGACCTCGGTTTGTAACTATACTCTAATTACTATTTTGAAAATTATAACGCATTAAATTACTCCGTTACTAAAAAAGTAATCAAATTACAGTAATGCGTTACTAAGTAATGCGTTACTGCCCAACACTGGTGCTAATCTGTCTGGTGATTATGCCCTCGTGAAAACTCTTTGATTGATTAAGTTGTATATATCTCATGCTACTGAAAAACAGGCCTCATAAGTTTGGAATTCATTTGACCGCCAGATTAGCACAGATCTCCTCTCCCGCAGTGCGCAGGCAAGCGATTGCGCCCTTGCCTTTGTTGTGCTGCAGTCTTATCCTCAGTGATCCAACATGATTCCCCCTCACCTTCCTTACCCAGATCAGGTCCTTCTCCCCCTCCAGTGCATTAATTGACAATTAAAGAAAATCGTCAGCTCCACCATAGTGGGTTGTAATAGGGATTTTCCCCTAGGCTTAGCAAGCGGCGACTTGTAAATTAATGCTTAACGAGTATTAGCAGGGAAGCCCATGGCAAGGATTGGAGCATGACTTTGGTCAACGGCAAAGAAATGAAAATCCATATTCCCCAAACGTCTTAATCCGCATTTTTGAATCATTTAATACACAAAATGCAATTGAATGCTTGAGAGAGGAGGGAAAAAAACATGATGGCATGCATCTATTTTCCTACTGAGGATTTCATGTAATGCTCAGAGTCTTTATAAGGTCTGTGCCATTCAGTGCAGCACAAAATCCATCATACAATCATCTCACATATGAGAACGGTTATTTTCAAAGAGCTGGTTTCTGGCTTTCAAGAGGAACTGGCCTCTGCTGTGTGACAAATCATGTGTCAGCAAACTTGAGGATGCTCATCTAGGGTGCTATGAGGGTGAAGTACACTGTGAAGTGCACTACAGAGGGAGGGGGCAGTGTCTCACCTCTTTGGCCTGCTTCCCTGCTTGCTGTTGCTGGGTAAGGAGCTGGAGGTGCAGCTGCTCCTGTTGCTTCTTGTAGTACTCCTGCAGCTAGACAGAGAAAGAGAGATAATTAGTTTAATTTATTGGAAATGCAACACTACACTGTAAAACATAAAAAAGAGCAAAATAAATAAATAATTCATCAGATGTTAAAACTTTATTTACCATATTGCCCAAGCATAAATCTTACTAAATTGTAAACTTTATGCTTAAAAAAATTCTTAATTCAAGATATATTGTATGAAAACGACAATAGTATTATAATATTACAATAATATTTTATATAATATAATATTTTTATGCTAATATTTTTGCAAAGCTTATGCAAAATCAATTTATTTTATTATTCAGGATGTTTAGATATTTTACTAAAATAATATATATTTTTTTCAATGTGAGATAAACAAAATGCAAACTTCAGTGTAACAAGAATACAACATAAATATATGCTGAAAAAAAGAGCACTTCAAAAAAACCTCAATAAAATACACTTTCAAACATACCAGGTTCATCTGAACTGCAGAATCTAGTTTGAAGGTCACATGCATTGTACCCTTTCTCTTCATTTTCTTTATTACTCTATATAAACCATATAAAGTGAATTTAAAGGGGTGATTTACTGTTTTTTTTCTAGGCTTGATCATGTTTATGGGGTGCAGTCTAACATGTGTTAATGCTTCGTTTAAAAAAAAAAAAAAAACGCATTATTTTTCACATAATTTACCTTTATTCTACACCACTCTGTCCCTTCTCCCATAAACACGCTGATCATTTCCTGCTTTTATGAAGCCCCTCCCTCAGAAATAACGTGATGGGCTCAGATTGGTTAGCTGGCCCAGTGTGTTGTGATTCGCTAAACCGCCTCTAGTGCACGTCTGAATGTCACGCCCCTCACCTCAGCCGCATGTGCTCCGGTTGTATTGTAAACAATGGCGTTGTCTATATTGCTTATCAGTTTGAGCCCGATTGAGACGCAGAGGATATTAGTGAAGAGGATTGCGCAGAACCTGTGCAAGCACGGCTCTTAATGGTATGTTTTTTGATTGTTGTTGTCTCATACTTTTAGATACGCTGTTATTTGTAAATGCTACTGTTTCGGTTAGCTTTTAATATACGGTTATATTTAAAGCTGATTAAAGGTTTAATACAGTACGGCAACCGCAAGCGCGTCCATGTATAACGCTTCTCATAGCTATGTGAAAATAATTGTATACATGGAACAGTTCATTGTTGGAGCTGAGCTGAGCTGAATGAGAGAGAGAGAGAGAGAGAGAGAGAGAGAGAGATGCAGAGTGTGTGCAGAGCAGGGGAACGCGAGGAACAGTATTAAGAACCGCTGATTTAGAACACTGATTTTGAAACTTGTGAATCCACTAGAATCGTTAGAAGACAGAATCACGATTCATATATGAATAGATTTTTACGTGCACCTCTAGTTTTCTCTTCCTCTTCTCTAAAGCAGCACAGCATGGCCTCGCCCCCTTTGTTGCATGTTCCCGGGGGCGGGGTTTGTCTGGGTTTGTCACAAACCCGGGAAGTAACTCGTTGTAGTCCCTACGAGCCGTTTTTTGTAGGCATTAAACTGCCAGAATGCACTGAACTTTCAGCGCCGCAACTTTGCAGATATTGTTTATGCTCAAACAGCAACATTACACACTAACTAACGTTAAACAAGTGAAATCGCAATCAACCACCCCTTTAAACATCAGTGCTTCTTCTGTAAAGAGACACCATGGCACAATAGGCTGCCCAAAACTGTTCTGTCCATCTGCTTATACTGGAAAATGTGGTGCTATCAAATGAGTCACATGATACTGGGTATCCAGAATGAGGTAGTCAGGTGCAAGGAGTTGCATATATGTCTAAAGTAGGGCTGAACGATTAATTGCATTTGCGATAATATCGCAATATGAAAAAAACACGATTTTTCAATCGCAGAGGCTGTGATTACACTCGGTCACATGACACGCAAGAGTAAAGAGGTGTGTTCAACTTGAAGATCGATCGGTGTATGATATCAAAGTACGGCAAGAGAAAGCATAAGGAGACATCCGCGCTCTTATAGCTCTCGCAGTACTTTGATGACACACACCGATCTAAGCAGCGCTGCTTCAAGTCGAACACATCTAAGCAGTCTTCAGAGGAAGCATCAAGTTGGCATGCTACAGTGTTGCCAAGTCCGCGATTTGGGGAACCCCTCCAAAAAATGTCATTGGTGTTTAATGTCATTGTTGAGGAGGAAAGCCTGTGTGTGTCCTATGCCTTAATTTGCGGACAGCATGAAACCCACAAAAAATAAATATAATAACAGTTATTCTCTCTAAGCTATTTTTCAATGTTTCAAGTGATGCAGGTGTTTTTTTCCCCAGTGGGTTTTTTAAATTAAAAAAAGCTGTAATTTTTCATAATGTTTAGTGAAATTATTTGGCGCGACCAAAAAAGTTTGAGAACCACTGGTCTAAAGTTAACAGACTGTTTAAAAAGTGCAGTCCACATGTTTACGTTTATTACAGTGACTTTGAATTACCTAAAGTAGTGTGGTAAAGCAACAGATTTGTTTGTATATTTCTGCAATCTACTTTAGTTTGTGTGATTTGTTACTGACTTTCATATTAATGTTTACACCAGGCTTATTTGTCAGTGCTTTATGTTGTCATAATTATTACATGCTGCTTACAAGGTTGGAAGTTCAACAAATCAGTCAATATACTGTGATTGTAGTTGTTAAATAAAAATGTCATTCATATCAATTCATGCATCACCTAATTTCATTGTAACATATAGACCTGGCCTACAGAAAAGAACATTTAAGTTTAATCTATCTAATATTGTGTTGGTTATACTATACAATGATTTATAGCTTGTCTTTGTTGAATAATACAGAACAAAGAGCTTTAAAAAATAATTGCATATTAAATCGCAATCGCAATATTGGTAAAAAAAAAATCGCAATTAGATTATTTTCCAAAATCGTTCAGCTCCAGTCTAAAGGCATAAAAAAAATGAAAACAGGATAAAACAAGATCAGCTTCTAGCTTAAGGGCTAAAGTGCCTACATAATAAGGCATATTCATCGTTTTTCAGCATTCCTCTAAAAAGCAGCTGAAACACCTGGCAGGTGGCGTATGAATATGTCCTGTAAATCATCTGTCCACCCTTCTCTTGGCGTGGAAAAACTGACAGCATCGAGACAGGCTTCCTTATTTATGATTGACTGAACTAAAACACACAACACCTGTCTTAGAAAGCGCTGGTAAAATTGGCCCTTTGCTTCTAATCTCAGAGCAGTTTTTTTCGCTACCTCCCAAGTAACAGTTACGATTAGAACACAGGTGGTAGAAACCAGCCAGAGATCAGCACAACAAGCCAATTTATGCCTTAAGCATCTGAGAGATCTTAAGAGAAACACAGACACCTGCCTGATTCCTACACAGATGCTTCCCTATTCCTGGCACTATCCTTCAATTATGTGCAATACGGTTTATTATATGCAAAATCATGCCATTGTCAAATGGAAAAGCACCTTTTGTGTGTTTTTCTGGTTCTGTTTGCTTGCGTGAGGGGTTTGTGTTAAGTTAATAAAGCACAAGAAAGGTGTTTACACACTGGTTACTGATTCAAAGCTCAGCAGAATGGGTCTCTATCTCCTCTATACAAGTAAACATAGACTTATATGTGCTTTATCACTCAAACACCTCGCAATGGCACACCTTGCTCTGATTAAAAGCTTTGGGAACAGACTGAGGCATGTGGGAGTCATTGATTTTAAGTGTGCACAGTAGGGTTAGGGGTATGTTTCATTCCTCAGAACAATGAAGGTTTTTAGACAAAAACATGAAACAGGTGTGCAAGGGCAGAAGAGTGGAGACAGGATTAATCATTAACAATTATCAATTACTAATTCTGTGAAAATCTTAAGAAGTGCTAAAAGTGTTTTTACTGGTTGCCAAGAAAAACATTACTATTATTATTCATCATACTTTCCAGGGTTGATTACCGAGGGTCCATTTAAAAGATAAAATCGCTAAAATCAGTACATTAGTAACCACATATTAACGTGAATATGAGAATCAAACAGTTGTGTCTTCAGAAGACACTCGTTTCTTCAGAAGATGCAATCATTTGCATTAGTACCTCAAATAGCCGTAAACTTTAACTAGAAGTAACATACATTTGATGTTCACATGAAAACCTGGAAATAATGTTCACTAAAACAAGAAGTAAATTGCATATACTTGAAGGTTTTCACCTCTAAAGATTTAAATAATAAACTCACAATAATACTTGTCCCTTTCCTACATTTGAAGGAGAAAAAAATATCACATGAGAAAGGCTTCCTGTTATGCTACCATGTTTACTTTCACCTATTTGAACTAGCTGCTACTTTCAACTTGCTACTCTTTTACAGAGTCATAAGTGGGACTGGCTCGCACCTACTAACACTGTCATTACACATCTCCAACCGTAGCTCTGGCTAACCGCAGCGTCCACCGCAGACCCACCGCTGTTTGTTTTACTTTATTAATTTACCCAGGAAAACCTATTAAGTTTAAAATCTCAGCTTCGCATGGATGACCTATTTGACATGGAAGTACATGTTGACCGAAGAAGCAGAGCACGGAGGCCCTCGTACACGCAGGAGCCACGGTGGAGTGCCTGGGGGAACGCCGGCCACAGCTGCTGGAGAAAAGTTGAATAATGATACCCTCATTAACTCCCTATCACACATAGTGTTTACAGATGTAATGCGGGCTTGCTCGAGGAATGAGGTACTTAACTTTTGGCTACGTACCAATTCACAACACTGTGCAACTTTAAAAAGATAGAGTTGACACAAAATAATGTGTACTTTTAATTAGACATGCTCGAAAATGAATTCTTTACATAAAGTATTTTATAATTATTCTGCATGCAGCTTTTTTGACCTCAAATTAATTAAAGACTAACTGGAATATTTGTCCTTTCAAAAAAAAAAAAAAAAAAAAAAAAACAATTTAAAATATTTTTATTTAAAAAAAAAAAAAAAAAAAAAAAAAAACGATTTAAAATTAATTGTCACCATTTTTAACCCAAGATTCTAAAATGTTTAACTTAAAATATTGACTTAAAAACTTCAGTTAAGCATGTCTGGGGTCATGTGACATACTTTTATGGAAATGCCAGAAAGGAAAAAGGGGGGGGGGGGGGGGGAATTATTGAAAAAAGAAATGTATATATATAATTTTGATTCAGACAGATTCACTAATTTTGCTAATTAAAGAAGAACAATTCACTCACAAATCAAACACTCCTCTACACAAGTGTGCAAGAACTGATTACATATTTTAGAGCAGACAAGGGAAAAAAAGTATACTATATACACAAAAAAATCCATTATTTTTAATTAAATTAAACACCATTATTAAATTAATTTCCATGACTTTTCCAGGTCAAACTTCCATGATATTTCCAGGTTTTCCACGACTGTGGAAACCCTTCACTTCATACCAAAAACAACAGCCCAGATGTTCTGCTGACAGAATAACTGTGCAAAAGACAGAAAGCTTTAATTTGACTGGCTGTCTGTCCTCAGAAAACTTCTCTTAGGCTGACATGAGTGTACACAACTTTAGTCTTAAACGAGCCTTGAACTCGCTCATCTCCTGCTGTTTTAACCAGATGAGAAGTTCTACCAAGCAACACTAAAACGCTGTATTCCCTCTACAAAAGCCAGCTCACAACACTGCGTCCATTTGACTCCCTGTCGCCGTGCCGCTTTACAGGATATTGAAGGTGAGCTACCTCGCATCTGTGATGCTGAGCCACGGTCCTTTCAAACAGAGGAAGTCAGCGAGCTGTAAGGTGTGAAGCGAGACTCCATTTACCACACTAAAGGCGTTTGGCCAGCAATATGTCGCCTGTCTCTCGGTTTAAAACTCTCCTCCACGCCTCGCTGCTACCCGCCTGGCCCCGCTGCCTCTCGCCCACTCATTACCCCTTTAATTCATGCCAATATGAAGCTGAATAGTTGCGGGAATAATTAAAGAATAATTAAGGGTTTTTTAATGATTTGATTCAGTGGGCCCCTTTCACGTTAACTGCGCGCCTTGAAAGGCATTCACCTTAGATTCCCATTATTGTGACCTTGGTTTTACTTAACAGCACAGAGAAGGGATAAAAAAGGGAAAATATATCAGCTGGGCTGCAATTAAGGGTTGGAGGGATGAAAAGGTTAACTCACACATACATAAGTGCACACGCATACATAAACATGCACTTGCTCTCGCTTTCCTGCGAGCGCAGTTTTTGTATGTAAATCGTATTTGTAAGGGTATTAACATGCAGAAAAAGCAGAAGCCCACTCGTTCTCCCACACACAGGGATGAGATCAGGGGCGGATTGCTGTACGTGTGTGTTGGCAGGCTCTCTGATTGCTCCATTTTCCATGTGCGAAAGAGTGAGCATTAAAAGCCACTTCTCACGTGGTTCATCACCATTGCAAACCATTAAACCCATTGGCTTTTGCTAGAGATGTAAAACGGCCCATGAACAGTAACCATTTCAATTTCAATATCCTCGTTAAATATAGAATAAAAAAAGAGAGAAATAAAGCGGGAGGAGGGGAACAAAGTGCTAAGTTTCTTTCTCAAACAGCTGAATTTTGATTTCTGTGAGCAAGCGTCTCTTGATAAATTTGTCAGATCAGCTTGGCACAATTTATACACGCCTAAAGCAGCCTCCTCCTCCTTACTACTAAATCAGTTCTGCTCTCTGTTAAGATTATTTATGAAAACCTTCTTCGTCTTTTAACTGTGAAAAATAATCACACGTTCTCAATCAAGGTGGTTTGGGAGAGGTGCCTGACCTGATTTCTGCCTGAGCAGTGTGTGTGAAAAGGTCGAGGCTGCGCAGAATTTTGGGACAATGTTAAATATTTGAGAGACGTGAGAGAAATGGGATTGTTTGTTTCTTCATGTCTGCTCAGGGGCCGCACCTCAGGCCTCCAGGCGATATCGCAGCAAGATAGCAGAGGCCGCGCAACTAATAAACCAAGAAAGTAAGAAGAGATAGAGACGGGAAGAGAGCTAGAAAAGTCTGGCTTAGCAGCTGGGTGAGAAACATTGTCCTTGCTTTAACATATCGCTCCCTGACCGCCGGCGAATCGACGTGTAGTGACACCAGCCAAAGGAGGCGTCGCCAACACTATGGGTATGCTAGTAAATGCCGCTTATAAACACCAGAGCCAAGTAACATCAAAGCCGGGGAAGATATAATTTCGGGCATGCCTGTGAGGATGCAATCAAAGTTACACAAAACGCAATTACATTACAAACTCTGACATTCACACACAGGACCTATTAATGGGGTTCGTACGTGAATGTGCGTTTACTGTGCCATCCGACGGCACTCTATAAAAGCGCTGGCAACAGCTGTTGGAATGAAGGACGTCAGTCGGAGATTTCCGTCGATTTGGCAGGATTCTTCTATAAAACATGTAAAGCTTGTGCAGTTAGAGGTCTAGAGGGGAGAGATTAAGTTTTCTTAAGGAAGTATGGAACAAAGTGTTTGTGTTTTTTATGTCTGAGTGCACGTACAATATAACTGAAAAGGTTTAGAATGTTTGTTTGTTTAGTTTGTACTCCTTGGCGCCAACTTGATATTTCCCAATTGAGTTTTGTATGGAAGCCAATTTCTGCCTCAGAGTAAAATAAAAAAACAAAAAAATACAAAGGTATTTGTGACACTTTTTCTTCATAGTGTCAACTATGACTCGAAAATGTGAATTTATACATTTACCTTTCAAAAGTTTGAGGTCAGTACAATTTTTTTTTAAACACTATTAATCAGCATTAAGACAGTAAAACAAGTAATAACATTGTTAAACAAAATTAGATTTCAAATAAATGCTGTTCTTTTGACCTTTCTATTCGTCAAAGAATCCTGAAAAAAAAATGTAGCACAGTTTCCTCAAAAATATATTAATCAAACATTTCCCTCAAAAATATGTTAATATATTAACATAGATATTAATTAATGAAATGGTTCTTGAGCACCAAATCAGCAAATTAGGATGATTTGTGAAGGATCATGAGACTGGAGTAATGGCTGCTGAAAATTCTGATTTGCGATCACAGAAATAAATAACATTTTAAAATGTATTAAAATGACAGATATAGTACTGTATTAAAAACAGATATAGGGCTATTGAATTGTAATAATATTCCAAAATACCATTGTTTTACTGTATTTGTCATCAAATAAATTCAGCCTTGGTGAGTAATATATTTAAAATGATGTCAAACTGACCTACAGAAACAGGCTTTCATAGTTTTCTGTACTCCAAATAAATAAACAAACAAACAAACAAATAAAGAAAGAAAGAAAGGAAAGAAATTTGGTTAGCCTAAAATAAGTCATTAATAAATACAAATAAACCAAATAATGTCCAATATTATGAAAATCCTTGAAAATCTCCATGAAAGCTATCATATCATACACTCAATTTTGCTGGAAAATTATGGCATATGGTCTAAAACATAGACCCAATGCACACCTTTTAAAAAATTATGTAGCGAATACCATTCAGTAATATTTTGATTAGCCAATAAAACTACCAATTGGTTTTGAAAAAATTTACCTTTTGTGTGGTTTGTGTGGGCATGTCATGTCTGAACAGCCCAGACATTCACAAATATCGTTTTAAGTTGTGTGTGTGGTGACTTGCGAGGCGCCCGTGTGTGTCAGTGTGTATGTGTGTGTTACCTGTTGCAGCATAAGGGCTTGTTGCTGTTGGAGTAAAGCTTGGAGCTGAGGCGGAGAGAGGATCTGCTGCATCTGCTGAGGAGTTATCATCTGTGGGGTCATCATCGCCATGGATACCGGCACCTAATAAGAGCAAACAGACCAATAAATGATTGTGTGTGTATTTGATCGTCATATTTGGTAACAGTGCTTCTGGAACAGTGGCTCCCAGCTGGTGGGTTGTGACACTAAAATGTCTCAAAGATCTGTTCAGCAAAGAGAAACGATGCTAAATGCAAATTATACCATGCATGTGATAAAATAAACAAGCTTATCGACTGATAAGATGCACAATCTGGGCACAAAAACAAAATCACTGCACTAAATGATAATTACAGTGACACAGCACGTATCCCTAACTTTAACATGATACAAAGCCATTTCTGTTTCTCTAGCATCATAAAGGAATGTTGTACTTCACTTTAATGAACTCTTTATCCTGTCATGCCAAAGAGAGTACACATAACATCAAATCTGTTGACACAATAGATCTCCACACTGCTTGCATTGTAAAGCCCTGGTAGTTTTTCCAAAAGAGAGCGAGAAAGCGTGTTGATCAAATCTTCCCTTGAGTATGTAGTCTTTATCAGCCTGAAAGCACTTCAATAAACATAATATTATGATTCGTTATCTAGAGAATCACATCTTTGGCAAAAATAACAAACAGTCTGATAAGATAGCTATCGGCAGGAAACAACTTGCAACAGTCTGGAATTAAGAGCGCAATTTGCTAGTCAAGAAAGAGGCGTAAAGATGGAAGGTGTGATTCTTATCTTATGACAAATATGCAGAAAAGGAGAGAAACGGAAAGAGAGTTGGGCTCAACAATAAGAATTTCCCTCTGCAGGCCCAGCCAGGGCCATTAGTTCAGATGTTTACTTGTCCTACCAACATTTTCAATGGCCATAATATTTAATATTTAAATATTATCACTGATTTGTTTGATGCTTCCAAGATTATTTAAATCATCAGAATTAATAACAATAATGTTCAAGACATCACACAAAACCGAATGCTTACGGTAAGTTTGAAAGGCATAAAAACACATAAAGGTATATAGGCCTACATAACCAACAGATGCAGTGCTGGCCAAATATGGCCAGCGGCAGTCCATCAACTGTTCAGAAACTGTCATATTGGTCATAATCACCCTTACTCTGTGCGTGCGTGCGTGTGTGTGTAAAAGAGAAAAGGTTTGAAAAAGCCTGAAGGCAGGCCGCCAGTACATGCTTACATCCTTTAATGATGTAGGACCGGCCACTCTGTGAACTTATGGGCAGCTTTTAATGGGCCAGCAATTTCCACCAGTACAATTTGCGGCTGCTTCCTCAAATGCAACTAGCAATCTCCCACTGAGACACACACACACGCACACACACACACACAGCCGCTCTGTGGCGTTCCATTTATTTTCCTATTTACTGCTCAAGGGCCAGAACTGATCATCTCCCTGCAACTGCTCAATAAAAATAAAGCTATTTACAGGCAACGGCTGGCTTGAAGCTGACATACGAGCGCAAACTACAATCCCGCATAATACGTCCATTTATCTACATTTTCCACTCAAAGGGAATAAAATAAAGAGCAGCAACGCTGTGACGACTTCCCAGTCCACTGCCAGTCCGATCTGATATTTGCATTCATTTGTTTTCATGTAGCGCCTGAGCGCTCATATTTTCAGCAGTTTATCTATTCGGAGCTCGAGGGCTCGTGAGGAGGGGCGGGGGAAGGGGGGCAAGATAAGGGGAGGAAAGACGAAGAGAGAGAGAGCTGTCAGACGCAAATTAAATCTGTAAAGGGCTGATTTGACTTTGTAAACAAGATTGGCGGTAAATACGAACACCGGCTCTTTTTCCCGCCGGAAAGAGGGATGAAAGCTCGCACTCGCGAGCCTCGTGGTTATCGTCGACTGTCCGATACTTTTGTATTGTAAACATCCCTATCACAATCAAACGAGCCCTCCGTATCCTTCACTATGAGAAGGGGGGGAACTCTTCCCAGAATCCATGACAGAGACAAAGAGGAAAATTATGCACTCTTTTACCCTCTATGACTTGCGCGCCACAAGACAGACGCATTTTATGGGCTGGCGTGCCACTCACCTTGATTAATTATAGGTGTGACGGAGGTGAGGCTATGTTAGACTAGCGCTTGCAGCTAAAGCTAGCAAGCACAGACACATTTCAGCTGATGATATCATGCATCGGATGCCATCGAGAGTGAGAGTTAGAGCTTTCGGTCCTCTGCCAAAAATGAGGCACCCGCCTTTGATGACTTATATCAAGGGTTAAAACATCAAGGGCCTACAATTACAGCTTTGAAAGCGAGCATGTGCACCCAGAGAGGAAGAGGCATCTGAAACAAAGCCAGGGCGCCATCTGAGGCAAGAGCCCACAGCAGGCCAGCCGGCCGGTCGGCCGGGCCAGCCTGCCAGGGAGGGAGGGATGTGCCGTATGCGTGTGTGTTGTTTGTGCATACAACGGGGGAGTCAGGACTCAGAATGTGAGATAGGGCAAAAGAGGGGGCTCGGCGTGGCGGGCGCATGGCGTCACGTCAATTTGCCACGTGCGGCTGCTTGTCACTGGAAAAGAGCGAAATGAAAACCTGTAATTAATTGCTCCTCTGCATCCCATTCTCCCGCGGTGACAACCCATACATTCTATTTTATACACACGTTCATTGACATTTTCAAGTTGCAGGCGTAATAATTACCAGAGTTATAACACCTTCTATTGCGGCGCGACAGTGGGATTGACGAGCCGCCTGAATGCTGAGTTGTTAAGGTTTGACGCCATTAATTGCCCCTATAATCTAATATCACAAAGGCGGGCCATTACACACCGTGAGCGGAGCGTGCAATTCGACACTACGGTTTCAGAGCAGTGCAGGAAAACAAAAGCGTGCCATTAGGGACTTGACGGCCGCTAACAAAAGCGCAGCACAATGCTGAATTATATTTTCATTCGGCTTTGTCTCTCGCCCATAAATGATTCCCCCCATTCATTTGCAGCTGAATAGACCCAGTAATAGAGGAGCCCGAAACCCCAACCATTTGAAGTGAGGCATTTATTAAATGCATTTAATTTTTTTCTTTCTCTCTTTAAATTAACATGCAATAGGAAAGAAAGGCAAGGGAGATATTTTGCTTGTTGAGCAGAAGCACAGCGGCGAGCACCTGGCTGTGAATTATCAAGCCTGAACACTCATTTACTATATTTTAAAAACAGAGAGAAAAAACATTCTGTAAAGGGCTAGAGATGCCTCATGTTCTGGTCATAGGAAGAGTGCTTGGCCTATAGCGGAGCTGCAATAAATAGACAAGGCTTTGAAATATATAGATGCATTATTTAGAAACAAAATGAACATAATTTTGAAAAAAAAAAAAAAGTAATATCTAAAAAATAAATAAATAGAAATATAAAAATTACAAAATATTTAATATATATTTAGTATTTTCTCTTTTTATCTATTCAACAGGCAATTTTTAGAGGTCACACCTCAGACTTTTTCAATTGCACCCAAGAGGTCAAGGTTTGTTCATATCAGTGGGTTAACACGGGCAGTTTGCCCCTAGTGATCAATGATGTAACTATAGTTATATAGGGGTAAACAGCATCTTTCTACATTGACAGTAGCTGAAAAAAATTCTGCAAGCAACATTTAAATCACAATTGCATTTCATTATATTATAGATTGATAACTAGTGGCTATTTTTAATAGTTCGCAATTATTTATTTTTATAAAAAAATATCTATAATTTTAGTAATTTTAGTATCTATCTGTAATTAGTCAAACGGCATTTATAGTTCAGGTAACTGGCTTAAAAAAAAAGGGCGAAGCAAAGATGAGCAAAGCTGGCATGGAGATTGCATACTTCGAGAGTCCTACGGTGGCTGAGCAACTGCCACTGATATGAACAGGAAGGCTAACATATAGCTTGTTCTGTAATAAAATCAAATAATATCAGGGCTTATGCTATTATATGACAGGTCAACCTGCAAGCCTCCACCAATCAGTGGCACGCAGGTCAAGGATCATTTGCAGAGGGTGGCTCTTGTGGTCACTATCACTTATCTCGTCCACCTTTGATCAGGTAGGGGGAAAAACACACAATACAGTAAATAGAGCACATCTATACAAGCAAAACCTCTTTTCACACTCACCCGCAGCTTTGAGTTTGTAAGTGGCGCGGCATCTGAACAAGAGAAAGCGCATAATGTACGGTGTGCATTTGATGACCATCCCCTAAAACCATCTCCACAAGCTTCTGAGACTGTCTGCTAATAAGCCAGCTTCAGTGGCACCTCTGGTGCCTCCCACCACCATTAAGATTCACCAGCACTGTCCGCACACACAACATAGAGCTACCCACTACTGACAGGGGTCAGCCTCAATACAGAGAGAGAGAAAGTAGCGGGGGAGATGGCCATTCGCAGGGAGCGGCGCAGTAATTAGAGGGGCTATTTGAAAACCGAGTTTAACTGATTAACAAAGAAAAATGAGGGAGGGAGAGAGAGAGAGAGAGAGAGAGAGAGAGAGGGGAGAGGCAAGCTGAGCTGCAAGAAGAGTGACGTGTCCCAGAGGGTCATAAAGGAAGTAGTAAGGACAGAGAATGCATTCCAAAGAGCTTTAATCTGGCTTTTTCTTTTTTTCCGGCCTTGATAAATTAAGCTGAGCTGCAAGAAGAGTGACGTGTCCCAGAGGGTCATAAAGGAAGTAGTAAGGACAGAGAATGCATTCCAATGAGCTTTAATCTGGCTTTTTCTTTTTTTCCGGCCTTGATAAATTACAATCAGTCTTATCAAACACCCTCCGCTCTTTAAAACACAGACACAAGGACAATGATGTGAATCTTGGTCTGAACGGGAACATGAGAGTGTTATAATACGAAATCCTCCTCAGCACAAAATACTGTCAGTTTGCCAAATGACTCACTTTCATTAAACTAAAACCATTCGTACTTAAAAGCATTTTTTTTCTCCCCTGAGCTGTTTCACCTGTGCTCCTGGATTCAGTCTGATCCATTAGTGTGGATATATGCTCAATGCATTCTGCGATAAGTTGTAACCGTTTCTGCTCTAATGAAGTGGCCACTCAAATGATTTGCCGTTTAAAAATAGATTTGGAAGTTGCAGCACATCTTGCAAGGTAATCAATGCTTGTTGCACTTGGAGTAAACTAAAACACAAAGAATTTTTGAAGAAAGATGCTTAAGATTCGAAAAGCATGATGGATGGAAGGGCGATAATATCATAATATTTATGATATATTTGGAATGATTTGTCTGATTTAAATGCACTTTTTACACAACAACATTAGAACTGGAAAGTTTTCATGAATCAGTGAAAATCGATTCAAGAAAGTGAATGAAATTCAAAATTCCATAAAAATTGTCATTTGTACCATATATATATATATATATATATATGAAAGACTTGAAAAGATTTTTCATCATCATCTTTGTATTTATCTCCATTAGCATTTTCAGGACGTAAAAAAAAAGAGAGAGAGGGAAAGAAAGAAACCAGGCAGCGAGTACAAAGGTATAGAGGAGATCTTCATTTTGGGAAAGGTCAACCTCCCAGTAATGAGCCGTACACTAAATTATGGTATTTAAATAAATGGATGATGATGAATGCATCTCCATTCTCTGGAGGATTCTTTGCCATTCCATATTACAGGGTAATTATCACATGTAGTGCCATGGTGCATACAGACACACACACACACAGACAGGAGCAGGAGAAAAAGTGGGCGAAAGAGCCTCAAGTGAAAGCATATAAAAACATGTTACTAAACTTTGGACAGACGTGGCAAATCAGCTCCATAAAGCCGTAATTGGGACTGGCTGAGTTCTTGAAAGGCTTTTTATAGCTGGAGAGCAATAATATACTTGTCCATATAAAGAAGGGGGAAAATCTGATAAACGGCCCTTAAAGTTGAAGAATTTAGAGAAGAGCACAAAGGTCTAGCGCTTTAAAGACTGCGAGGGAACTCAGCTCAGACTTGGGAGTATGAATTACGACAGCGCGACACTCACATGGAAAGGTGGCCAAAGAATTACTTTGACTATGTAAAGAGCAGAGTTCTGGTCATCCAAATCTAAAATCCTGGCTAACAAGAAGGAAGAGTTTAGTTCTTCTAGAAATCTGAGATGGGGTGTCATGTAACAGCTCAGACACACAATTGTCCCACAGTGGTGAGCCAGAAAACAAGAGGATGTATTAACCAAGTCTTAGTGAAGCACACAATCTTTAAAGGGACAGTTCTTAAAATTGTGATTGTACTGAAAAGAGCATCTTAGATTAGAAAAGAAAACAGCAAACAGGTTTGGACATGTCTTGAGTCCAAATGTCATCAAATTTTGTAGGGCGCATCGATGTTAAAATTGTATCCAATAGAATAAACCAACATTAAATTTAATGTTATGACCAATAACCAATAAATGGCAGATATTAAAATTCTATAATAATCTGTATAAATAAATAAAAACTAAAACATTATAAACAATTAAATGCTACACATTATGAAAAATGGATATTAATGATTCATTTTTGAGGCTCTCTTAATTAATAGTGTTTTTAAAGATTGATTTTAAGTGAATGCTAGGTGATGCAAACGTAAATAAATAAATTAATTAAATAAAAATATAAATGGTAATTCGGCATGACTAAATATCCAACCTAGACAATACCAATATTTTAAAGAACATTTCTAATATAAGCCAATAATCAATATATCAATATATCATGCATCCCTATTTTAATATATATGATTCTCACAAAACATGAGCCATATACATAAAAGCATGATTCTGAAAAAGCTGGGGATTTGACAATAGGTGGCGCTATAAAACATGACAAATAGGAACATTTAGTGCCTGCGCACATGTGTAATGGAGAGCGATGGAGGCTTATAACATTATAATGAATGTATAAACACCACAGTCAGTCAATCTCTACAATCCGTCTTCAAGCTCACCGGCAGACCGCGGAGCCCTGGAGTGGGAGAGATAATTGAAAAAAATGACAAGGAGACGACTAGAGGAGATATCACAAGCAGCATCCATGCACATGCGGGACAACATTCTAGCGCTGTTTACCCCCGTCAAAAAGAATTACTCACTTCAGCGATGGAGGACTGGTAGACTGCCTAACCGCGCAACCCACAACTCACACTCTCTAATTCTCTCTCCTCCTGCACTAGGGTACCTGCAGTCTGTGCTGATGGCCATTATGATCAGTTTATTCATGGGTGTGCTCGTGAGTCTACTGCCCCCGGGCTCAAGCTGGTAAACAAGCCATCACATCTCATTTACACAACAGCGCCGTTAATCGCCTCGCATACCAATACCAAGTGGTGGGCCATGAGGCGAGAGGGAAATGCCGGGGAGGGAGGATGGAGGATAAGGCTGGGGTTATGGAGGCTCAGAGGGGTCTGAGACAGGGGGCAAACAGGGAGAGAAAGGATGGAGGAAGGGTGTACCCAAACAAAAACGGGAGTGACGGGGGTTATCAGATATGAGGAGGGAATTACAAAAACTGTTATGTTAATAAACATAAGATTTAGAATTTCTATGAATACAACTATAAAATGTATAAATACATATTGTATAATTATACAAAAATGATATAAATAAAATAAAATACTTATTACATAATTATGATATTACACACAAAGCCATTGTTGCAAAATAACACCTTCAGACCCCTCAGCATCACCCTGTCAGGGTTTATTTTTTGCGATAATGTCCAAATGTACATTATACCTTACAACTTCTAATGTTGCAAACTGGTAGCAGTGTTTGCTAACATGGCTGTAGCAAGCCCCATTAGCAGCTACACATCTAAACTGTTGTCTCTGCCTCCTTACAAACTCTTATGATCACCTTTCATCTTCACCATACCACCATGATTAACACATGCACTTGGCAACAGTGCTAACCTGCACAATACTAACTCTCCCAACCATATTTACCCTTCCCCCATCAAGGTAAAGCAGAGTGTGTTTATCAACACATGAACGGGAGAACAAAATACCACCACTGTTCCACCAGAAAAGTTCCCTTCTCTTTATCCTGACAGGAGGGGGCAAGAGGTCACATTTCTCAGGTGGAAGCGATAAGGGAAGCTAGGTGGGGTTAGCATAACGGGGGAATTCTAATAAAACTTAAACAAAAATGGATATGAACTCTCCACACTACTTTATTCTCAAGATTCCTGTGTGTATGTGCGTATGCGAGTGTGTCGGTGTGATCAGATGCTACAGGAACATGTACTCAAGCTTAACCTTCTGCCCAATGAGAAATGAAGTTTGAGCTTAAAGTAGTGCCATTGTTCAGCGCTTCACTACAAAGAGCCACATTCACGACTCTAGTCTTTAATATAGTACAAACGGGGGATGGGCGACAACCAGAATCAGAGCTTTAACAGACAAAGATCTGAGAAAGTAAGACACGATGATAAATAGGGCTGGGTGATATTACTGAAAAATGAAAGGACAAAAACCTGATTTATTTAATACGCTTGCGTCTGATTGTTAATGATATGAGCCTGTATCTATGCTTGTGAATCCTTACATGTGGTTATGTGAGTATGTGACACACATACCTGCACGGGGCTCTGTTTGACCTCGTTACTGCTGGGGGAGTTGAGTCCTGTGGCCTGCTGGAGGATGAACTGGCGTGCTGCCTGGAGGGCCTGTGGACACGAGAAACAGAGACAACACAGCGGTGAGCACCACACATACACAACACCTTTGCACTCTGCTTGTATTTCCTCAGAATCACAGGAGGGATTCACTTAGCACTGCCCGGTGGGCCCCACCTGTTTGCCAGCCTGAATGTGTGTGGGGCCCCTCCCGTACAGAGCCAGAAAGGGGTTTTGCTTACTCTTTAGACAGAGTGAAAATGCAACTCTGTAACTCTACCGCACCCTTTTTTCCTTTCTCTCACACTCCCTCAGATCATCTGTCCACTGCGTTGCCTGCTACGAGGTCTGTCCCACATCATGTGGTGACGGTTCGCTACCCTACGAACAGATGACGGCGGTATTTTTTAGACTGCACCCGCACAGGATCTTTGGTCCAATAGCAAAATGTGCCACTCAGAAAAATTTTTTTTTTTAAAAACCCCCGGCAACAGTAAATCAGCGGGCAAACAGCTTTTTGAAGAGCACCATCAGGATGCACATTTGCTTCCTGGCCCTGAAGAGAGAGAGGAAGGTTACATAGTAAATATTGATTTATGAAAAGATGGAGGGGGGTGAAAAGCCCTCTTAAAAAAAAAGATTAAAAAAAAGACCTGACACCAAACATAAATCCTTAGAGTCATAATCTGATGCATATGCTAACCAAAAAAGGTCCTAGACTGTAAACTATTCATGTTTTAGATATTTTAAGCCAGCTTTAATAGCTCACCCAGCTGTAAACTCACTTTGAAGAAAAATCTATATAGTTTAACATTCGATGTCATTAAAGGGATAATTCACCCAGAAATGACCAATGTCATCATTTATTTATCCTCGTGTTGGGATATAGCACCATAAAAGTGGTCCATACAACTCAAACAGTATATTCAAAGTCTTTTCAAGTCATACAACAGCTTTGTGTGATGAACAAACAAAAAAGTAAGTAGTTTTTCGCTGAAAAATCATCAGTGCTATTACAGGAAAAAATGACATTTTAAAATATATCAAAATATAAAACATTGTACAAATGATTAATAATAATAATAATAATATTCTAATAATATATATATATATTTTTTTTAAAATCAAAATCACTTGATAGGCATAAAAGAAAAAAAATATTATCGACCCCAAACTTCATCTCTGGTATTTGGTGTCAAACCTATGCACAAATGAGATTTTAGAGCTTAAAAATAGGTGTAATACAGTGCACAAGTCATACAGACTTTTTTTTTTTTTTTTTGGGGCTTGACAATGCCTGTTCACCCGTTAGATATTTTAAGCCAGCTTTAATAGCTCACCCAGCTGTAAACTCACTTTGAAGAAAAATCTATATAGTTTAACATTCGATGTCATTAAAGGGATAATTCACCCAGAAATGACCAATGTCATCATTTATTTATCCTCGTGTTGGGATATAGCACCATAAAAGTGGTCCATACAACTCAAACAGTATATTCAAAGTCTTTTCAAGTCATACAACAGCTTTGTGTGATGAACAAACAAAAAAGTAAGTAGTTTTTCGCTGAAAAATCATCAGTGCTATTACAGGAAAAAATGACATTTTAAAATATATCAAAATATAAAACATTGTACAAATGATTAATAATAATAATAATAATATTCTAATAATATATATATATATTTTTTTTAAAATCAAAATCACTTGATAGGCATAAAAGAAAAAAAATCTTATCGACCCCAAACTTCATCTCTGGTATTTGGTGTCAAACCTATGCACAAATGAGATTTTAGAGCTTAAAAATAGGTGTAATACAGTGCACAAGTCATACAGACTTTTTTTTTTTTTTTTTGGAGCTTGACAATGCCTGTTCACTCGTTGTGGGGGGAAAAGCAGTGTGAATATTCAGAAGCAAGTTTCACAGAAGACAGCAAGTCATAGGAGTTAAGTAAATGACGGGTGAACTATCACTTTAAAACATGGTCATTTAGCACTGATCTGATATCAGTAATAGACTGTTAGTGCTAATAGCCATTATATCAATTGCAGAAGTACTTACTGGCTAAATGTGTGGGAGGGTGTATTTCAAAGCCCAGTCCAGGACCCTCTAAATAAATGGTGCCAATCCATTTAAGAGAGATACACCTCTGTCTTTTTTATTGTAGAGGGGGTGGTGGGGGTTTTAGAGAGAGAGGGGGCCAAAAAA